GCGAACCGAAGTACACCGCGCCGACCGCACTGTCGAAACTCAAAATTATGCGAGAATGCCGAAATGATGCGAGAATGCCGACAACCGACATTCTCCGCGAGCGCTCCAAGGAGCTCCCGTAGCGAGGAAGAATACAAAAACGCACGGGCTCCATGCCAGCCGCAAAGATGATGCTAGCAGGCGGAGACGATTACTGAAGGCGGAGCGCAGCTCACGGCCACCCTGAAATACTGGGAGCCAGAATGGCAACGACAACGACGCTGGTCGGGAAAGATCGCTGGACTCGACGACGACCGCCCTCTGGCTTGCCTCCCATATCCTTCCCTCCCTCCTCCTCTTCCGACTCGTCCTGCTTCGGCTCCCCCCACAGGTAGCTATACAAGGACGGAGAAAGAAATAGGAGCAGAGGCTATATGTAAAGGCAGACAGACGCACGCTTGCACCAAACGGCTGTCGGCATGCTTCGCTGGGGTTTCTGTTCGGAGATAGTACTATTACTACTGCTTCTGCATCGACTACTACTACTACTACTATTACTACTACTACTACTACTACTACTACTACTACTACTACTACTACTACTGCTACTGCTACTGCTACTACTACTACTACTACTACTACTACTACTACTACTACTACTACTACTACTACTGGTACTGCTACTACTACTCCTACTACTACTACGACGGCGACTAGTACAACAACTGCTGCTACTACTAGTACGACTACTGCTGCTATGACTGCTACTCCTGCTCGTACTACTACGAGCACTACTACTTCTACGACGAAAACTACTTTTACTGGCACTGCTACTAGTAGTGTCGCTGCTACTGTTACTACTACTACTACCACTACTCCTGCTCCTGCTACTGCTACTAAGACTACTCGTACTACTTCATCTGCTACTCGTACTTCTACTAGTACTACTCCCCCTACGCCTACTATTACTACTAATACTACAACTACTCCTACAACTACTACTACTACCACTATTACTACTACTACTGCTACCACTACTACTACCACTACTACTACTACTACTACTACTACTACTACTACTACTACTACTACTACTACTACTACTACTACTACTGCTGCTACTACTACTACTACTACTACTACTACTACTACTACTACTACTACTACTACTACTACTACTACTACTACTACTACTACTACTACTACTACTACTACTACTACTACTACTACTACTACTACTACTTCTTCTACGACTCCACCTGCGCAAACCCCGATCACCTCGCGCGCGAACGAGGTGCCCCATCGCCTCACCTCACAACAAGGATTGACAAGGAGGCGGGAGGAAGGAGGGACAAGGGAGATATACGGAGCCCAGCGGACACACGCCTGAAAAACACAGCTGTCGACATGCATCGCGAGAGCTGCTGCTGTGAGATGGGCTGGTGGGGATACGCGAAGCGTAAATAATTTCTTTCGATGTTCCGCCCGGACGACCTGCGTCTTCGGCGGTTGTGATATGTTTTCACATGGCCCTTTCCCAACACAAATGGAATATGTAATCAAATGTTCCACCCACTCGATATGGACGCCCCATCACTGCATGAAAGTTTCCTTCCTTCAATGTCCCGCCCGCAGAAACGGCGTCTGCGGCGATTGAGCGACTCCCCTGAACCTTCTCACGTCGCACAGCGCACGTTGCAGTTCATGTCCCGCCCGCCCAATGTGGAAATCCATCACTGATTAGACATGTCACTTGATGTCCCGCCCGCCAGTCTTGCTTTTTGTTGGCGATCGGGTCACATTAACCCCAGGAAGCATTTAAGAACCCCCCCCCCCCTTCCGGCAAATCGATAACCCTTCCGCACCCTGGAAGCGTTACCTGGCACCAGGAGCCCTCCTCCTCCTCCTCCTCATCCTCCTCCTCCTCCTCTCCTCCACCCACGAACTTCCTCCTGCCCCCTGTCGATCCTGTCGATCCTTGCGCAGCCAAGCTCCTCCAGGCGAGACAACTGGGCGGCGGGCGACGGCGAGCGACGCGAAAACGAGGCCAGGGCCAGCAGGCGCGCGACCGCACCGCTAGGGCCCCGACCGATGGAGGGGTACAGGCCGACCCCCTCCTGCCCCCTCCTCCTCCTCCTCCTCCTCCTCCTCCTCCTCCTCCTTCTCCTCCCGCGCCCCCCCCCCCTTCCCTCAGGGCCCAAGGCCTGTCAGGGCACAAGTCACCTGGGGTTTCCCCTCTGGGCCTTCTCCTGAGCAGGAGGAGACGAGATGAGGAAGAATCCTAGATAAATCCTTAGGAATCCCTAGGACACCCGCAGGAATAGAACTGGATTGTTTTTTTCGCGTGGCCGGGTGCTAAGATAACGCCACGGTGCGGGGGGGGCGGGATACCCTCTCGTGGACCTCCCCCTAGGACGGCCGATGAACATCAATTTCTAGAAGGGTTTTGAATGAGAAATCTCTTCCAAGAGGCCAGCAGATCAGAAGAGAGAAAAGGAGGATGAGGAGGAGGAGGAGGAGGAGGAGAAGGAGGAGGAGGAGCAGGAGGAGGAGGAGGAGAGGAGGAGGAGGAGAAGGAGGAGGAGGAGGAGGAGGAGAGGAGAAGGAGGAACAAGACAAGGAACATGAACAGGAAAAGGAGGAGAAGCAGGAGCAGGGAAAGCTTCTCAGTTGTCTCAGTTTTCTCAGCTTTCCCAGGTTTCTCAGCTTCCCCAGGTTTCTCAGCTTTCCCAGGTTTCTCAGCCTTTCCAGTTGATTCAGAACGGATCGTCGGCAGATTGTCCTGTGTCTTGCCCAGGTCAGATTGGATTCTTGATGAGATGGAAGCGTCGCTCACAAGTCCGAAGCACTGGAAGGAGAGGAGGCGATGGAGGAGGAGGAGGAGGAGGAGGAAGAGAAGGAGGAGAACGAATGTTTAGGAATCTCTAGGAATCCTCAGGAATCCTGAGGACCCTGTAGGAATCCTTAGGAATCCTAACATTCATGAGGAATCCCCTGGAATTTGTGACGAGCCCTTAGGAATTTAAAGGAGTCTTCTGGAATTCTGAGGAATCCACCGAAAGCTTTAGGAAGGCGCAGGAATCGTAAGGGAATCCTTAAGAATCCTAGATAAATCCTTAGGAATCCCTAGGACACCCGCAGGAATAGAACTGGAGTGTCTTTTCGCGTGGCCGGGTGCTAAGATAACGCCACGGTGCGGTGGGGGGCGGGATACCCTCTCGTGGACCTTCCCCTAGGACGGCCGATGAACATCAATTTCTAGAAGGGTTTTGAATGAGAAATCTCTTCCAAGAGGCCAACATATCAGAAGAGAGAACAGGAGGAGGAGGAGGAGGAGGAGGAGGAGGAGGAGGAGGAGAAGGAGGAGGAGGAGGAGGAGGAGGAGGAGAGGAGGAGGAGGAGGAGGAGGAGGAGAAGGAGGAGGAGGAGGAGGAGAGGAGAAGGAGGAGCAAGACAAGGAACAGGAGTTCATAAGCAGTAAAGGAAAACCTTTAGGACTCTTAAGGAATTCTTGCGAATCTTTTGGAATTCTCCAGATTCCTGAGGAATCCTTTGGATTCCTTGGAAATATTCGGGAATCCCTGGACATCCTTTGAATATTTTATGAATCCTGACGAATCTTTGTGAATCCATAGGAATCCTTGAGAATCCTGCGGAACTTGTATGAAACCTGATGGATCCATTCAAGTCGTTAGGAGTCATCAAATATGCTTGCGAATCTTAATACTATTATCATTGCATGAATTTTCCAAGCAGCAAGCGACATCCTGAGTCTTTCATGAGAGCCACGCAGATTTGAATTTCGAATTTCGATTGTGGCCCAGGGGCCAGGCCTCCGCGAATTTGTTTTGTGTCCGGGTGCTAAACCTATCGTTCGGTTATTTCGGCCCCTCGGAATATCGAATAAAAATGCGGTGCTAAGATATCGCCGGGGGGTTTCTCAAATGCTTCCTGGGGTTACCCTGTACCCAACACAGAGCAATTGCATCGATTGTCCCGCCCGCCCCACATGGACGCCCCACCACTGAGCGAATGGGTCCTGTAATGTCCCGCCCGCCTGAGCGGCGTGTTCGGTAATTGTTATCGGTTCCCTCAACATTGTCAGTTTAGTCGGTGCATCTTGCATGTGATGCCCCGCCTGCCCGACTTGGACGCCCCATCACTGACGACAGGTTTCACTTAATGTCACGCACTCCCGTCCTGCGTTTTCGGCGGTCGTGAAAAGTGTCCCCGTAACCTTCTCCTAAGACAGAATGAAGGTTACATGTCATGTTCCGCCCGCCCGATATGCATGCCCATCACTGAATAAATCTTGATTCCAATGTCCCGCCCGACCGACCAGCGTTTTTGGCGGTGATGGCAAATGTGAACGTTGCATTGTCCAGCCCGCTCGATGTGGACGCCCGCTCACGAACTTTCACCAGCTACAGGTGTCATGCGGTGTTCCGCCCACCCGATCGGCGTACTGAGCGGTTGTGGGAGATTGTCCCATAACAATCTCCCAACACGCGGCGCAAATTGCATTTAGTGTCCCGCCCTCCCTACCAGTTCAACGAGTCGTCGTTGTCGTTGTCGTCGCCGTCGTCGTGGTCATCGTCGCCGTCGTCGTTGTCACCGTCACCGTCGCCGTCGGCGTCGCCGTCGCCATTGCCATCGTCGTCGTCCCAAACGTGCTCGTGGTGGTCGTGGTCGTGGTCGAGGTCGTGGTCGCGGTCGCGGTCGTTGTCGTGGTCGTGGTCGTGGTCGTGGTCGTCGCCGCTCGCGATGAAGGCGACAAGCCCCCCTCCTTTTTCGCCCCCCGTCCTTTTCGCCCCCATCCCGTCGTCGTCCTCCTTTCCTCGGCCTCCTCTTTCTCCCCCTGCGTCGGTAAGGTGGGCCGGGCCCCTGATTCGCGGTAGTTTTCTTTTGACAGAGATTGAACTCCATACTCCCGCCCCGGGAAAAAAACGACGCTCACCGAAAACAATGTGTTGGAAACAACGGCATCGACGACGACGGCAGCGACGCTCCCCCTTGGCCGCCTATGCTGGCTGCGCCGCCTTCGCGTCCGAGATCGCCTTGACGATCTCTGCGAACTCGGGAACGGGCCAGACAGAAACGGAAGGAGAGGGGGGGAGCGAGGAGGGCTGGAAAGGAGGACGGGAGGTAGATGGGAGGAAGTAAGAGGGAGGGGGGAAGAGTGAGAAAAGGAAAAAGGGGGGATGGGGGGAGAACGAGGAGGAAAGAAGCGGTGGGGAGCAGGGCGACGAGAGGGAAGGGGGTCTCGGTATCAACGCGCCGAACATCGGAATTGTGTGATGAGCATGCCGTAGATTGACCGCATTATTCAGAGAACTCGTCGCGTACCCTTCTGGCACAACAGAATTACACGCCTTGCTACACATTCAGGTTGAAGGACGGAGATTCCCTGAGTATGATCTTCGAAATACTCGATAGGTTACCTGCCCTGGTGATTCACCACTCGAGACGATCCGCCCCGATCCCTAGGCATCCCGAGTGCCTGGGATGACTATATCCGCGGCCGGCAGGTCCCGAGATTCATCCTGCAACCGACTCGCCCCAACGAAGACTCCTCCCTTCTCGTGTTTTCATTTGTGTGATGTGTGTGGTGATGATCTCCGTGTCTCATGCTGCCACGTGGGTGCCGCCAACGGTCGGAGGTGAGGGGGTGAGATCGAAGTGAAACGGAGAGCCCCCTACCGGGAAATCGGTGTCGGTTTCGTGTTCGTGCGTGCCGTGCGTGCGGGCAAAGCGAAGCTGCGTGGGCGGGCGACGAGAAAGACTCCTCCGGCTGAGGCGCGGCCGGACAAAATGATTCCTGACCGAGGGCCGGTGGCGCGCGGTGTCCCGCCGGTGTCCCGCCTCTGGCTGAAGCGCGGCCGGACCAAATGATTCCTGATCGGGAGCCGATGGCGTGCGGTGTCCCGCCAGTGTCCCGCCTCCGGTTGATGCACGGCCCGACCAAATGATTCCTGACCGGGGGCCGGTGGCGCGCGGTGTCCCGCCGATGTCCCGCCTGTGTCCCAATGGTGATGATGATGATGATGATGATGATAATGCTGATGATGATGATGATGATGATGATGTTGCTGATGATGATATGATGATGGCCATGGTGGTGATGATGCTGTCCCGATGATAATAAGGTTGTTGTTGATGATGATGATGTTGATGATGATGATGCTTGTGCCCCGATGATGCTGATGTTGTTGGTGATGATAAAATTGGTGATGATGAGATGGGTGGATGATGATGATGGTGAAGATGATGATGATGATGATGGTGTCCCGATGCCAGTGATGCTGATAAGGTTCATGATGATGCGGTTGATAAGGATGATGGTTATGATGTAGGTGTCCCGATGACGATGGTGATGTTGATGATGATGATGGTGTCCAATTGGTGATGTTGATGTTGATGATGGGAATGATGATAAGGTGATGCTGATGAATTTGATGATGGTGGCCCGATGATGATGGTGCTGATGTTGATGCTGATGCTGGTGTCCCGATGGTGATGATGCTGGTGATGTTGTCATGATGAAGCTGATGAAACGATGGTGGTGGTAGTGTTCCGATGCTGATGCTGATGTTAATGTCCCGATGATGATGATGGTGACGATGGTGATGGTGGTGACGATGATGGTGCCTCGACGATGATGCTGGTGATGCTGGTGATGATGATGATGTTGCTTGTGATGGTGATGGGTGATGATGATGATGATGGTGGTGTGTCCCGATGATGATCATGGGGTTGATGACGCTGATAACGATTTTGTTGATGATGATGATGGTGTTGATGTGATATCGATTGTGATATCGGTGGTGAGATCGACTGTGAGACCGAATGTGAGGTAGATAGTGAGATCAACTGTGATAGCGATAGTCAGATCGAGTGTGAGATCGCACGAACGAAATAGATCGAGCGATATCGATTGTGAGATCGATCAGGTGAGATCGATCGACCGATACCGATAGTGAGATCGACCGTGAGACCGATAGTGAGACCGATCGAGTGAGACGGGGGTTCCCCCCCCCGAACCTCCTTATCACCCGCAGGGTGGTCGTATAAGTCTTCTCTGTGCCGTCTCCGCTATCCACGCCCACATGGTTGATGTCGGTAGGTCGGCGTCCTAATTGACGGTTGAAGGCCCAACCGCCGCGCGCATTGTGCATGTGGGTCTGCGCGTGTGTGTGTGCGTGCGTGCGTGCGTGCGTGCGTGCGTGCGCGTGCGTGTGCGTGTGCGATTGCGTGTGTGTGTGTGTGTGTGTGTGTGTGTGTGTGTGTGCGTGCGTGCGTGCGTGCGTGCGTGTGTGTGTGCGTATGTGTGTGTGTGTCTGCGCGTGTGTGCGCGTGCGTGCGTGTGCGCGTGCGTTTTTGTCGGGCAATCAAGGGCGCGCGTCCGGCATCTGGGAGCTACGGGCCGCGGCTTGAACCAGCGGGGCATACCTGGGCCGCGTTGGAGCCCCTGGGCGAAACCAGGAAGACGGTTGCAGGCGATCCCCAAATCGCTGATCAAGGAGCCTCCAGACCCCTCGGAGACCAACGAAAAACATAAAAAAAAACAATATCACCCCTGGGAGGGGGCGGCGGCCTGTGGCCCCGAGCCCCTAGCCTTGCCCGTCATCGGGTGGGGCCCCTGAACGAGCCGACGCGTGCGGGTGTGTGTGCGTGCGTGCGTGTGTATGTGTGTGTGTGTGTCTGCGTGCGTGTGTGTGTCTGCGTGCGTGTGTGTGTGTGTGTGTGTGTGTGTGTGCGTGCGTGCGTGTGTGCGTGTGTGCGTGTGTGCGTGTGTGCGCGCGTGTGCGCGTGTGTGTCTGTGTGTGTCTGTGTGTGTGCGTGCGTGCGTGCGTGAGTGCGTGCGTGCGTGCGTGCGCGCGCGCGTGCGTGCGTGCGTGTGTGTGTGTGTGTGCGTGTGTGTGTGTGCGTGCGTGCGTGCGTGCGCGAGCGCGGGTGTGTGTGTGTGTGTGTGTGTGTGTGCGTGCGTGTGTGTGTGCGTGTGTGCGTGTGTGCGGGTGTGCGTGTGTGTGTCTGTGCGTGTGTGAATGTGTGTGTGTGTGCGAATGTGTGTGTGGGTGTGTGTGAACGTGCGTGTGTGAGCGTGTGCGTGGATGTGTGTGAATGTGTACGAATGTGCGTGTGAATGTGTGTGAATGTGTGTGAATGTGTGTGAATGTGTGTGTGAATGTGCGTGAATGTGCGTGTGAATGCGCGTGTGAATGTGTGTGTGAATGTGTGGTGAATGTGTGTGTGTGGATGTGTGTGTGTGCGAATGTGTGCTTGTGCGAAAGTGTTTGCGAATGTGTGTGCGAATGTGCGTGCGAATGTGTGTGCGAATGTGCGCGTGAATGTGCGTGTGGATGTGTGTAAATGTGCGTGTGAATGCGCGTGTGAATGAACGTGCGAATGTGCGTGTGAATGTGTGCGAATGTGTTTGTTTGAATGTGTGTGTGTGTGTGAATGGGCGTGTGTCTGTGCGTGTGAATGTGTGTGAATGCGCGTGTGAATGTGCGTGTGAATGTGTGTGAGTGTGTGTGTGCGAATGTGCGTGTGAACGCGCGTAGGACTGTGTGTGTGAATGCGTGTGTGAATGCGTGTGAATGTGTACGAATGTGTGTGACTGTGTGTGTGTGTGTGCGAATGTGCGTGTGTGAATGTGTGCGTGAATGTGTGTGAATGTGTGTGCATGTGTGCGAATGCGTGTGTGAATGCGTGCGTGAATGTGTGTGTGAGTGCGTGTGCGACTGTGTGCGCATGTGTGCGCGAATGTGTGTGTGTGTGTGTGTGAATGTGTGCGAACGCGTGCGCGACTGCGCGTGTGAATGTGCGTGAACGTGCGTGCCAATGCGTGCGTAAATGTGCGTTCAAATGTGTGCGTGTGAGAATGTGTGTGCGAAGGTGTGCGAATGCGTGCGTGAATGTGCGTGTGAATGTGTGTGAGTGCGTGTGAATGTGTGCGTGTGTGGATGTTTGTGTGAATGCGTGTGTGAATGTCTGTGAATGTGTGTGAATGTGTGTGTGGATGTGTGTGAATGTGTGTGAATGTGTGTGTCAATGTGTGTGAATGCGTGCGTGCATGTGTGCGTGAATGTGCATGCGACTGTGCGCGTGAACGCGCGTGCGAATGTGCGTGTGAAAGTGCGTGAAAGTGCGTGTGTGAATGTGTGTGAATGTGTGCAAATGCGTGTGTGAATGTGTGTGAATGTGTCTGTGAATGTGTGTGTGTGTGTGCGTGTGCGTGTGCGTGTGCGTGCGCGTGTGCGCGTGCGTGTGCGTGCGCGCGTGCGTGTGCATGTGCGTGTGCGCGTGCACGTGCGTGTGCGCGTGCGTGTGCGTGTGCGTGTGCGTGCGCGTGTGCGCGTGCGTTTGCGCGTTCGTGTGCCTGTGCGTGCGCGCGTGCGTGTGCGCGTGCGTGTGCGCGTGCGTGTGCGTGTGCGTGTGCGCGTGCGTGTGCGCGTGCGTTTGCGCGTTCGTGTGCGTGTGCGTGCGCGTGCGCGTTTGCGTGTGCGTGTGCGTGTGCGCGTGCGTGTGCGCGTGCGTGTGCGCGTGCTTGTGCGTGTGCGCGTGCGTGTGCGTGTGCGTGTGCGTGTGCGTGTGCGTGTGCGTGTGCGTGTGCGCGTGCGTGTGCGTGTGCGTGCGCGTGTGCGTGTGCGCGTGCGCGCGCGCGTGCGCATGCGCGTGCGCGTGCGTGCGCGCGCGCGCGCGTGCGCGCGCGCGCGCGTGCGCGCGCGTGCGCGTCGGGCAATCTAGGGCGCGCGCCCCGCATCTAGGAGCTACGGGCCGCGGCCTGGACCAACCAGCGGGGCCCACCTGGGCCGCGTTGGAGCCCCTTAGCGAAAAACAGAAACTCCGCAGCAGGCGATCCCCAAATCGCTTATCAAGGAGCCTCCGGGCCCCATCGGAGGCCAAGGAACAACCACAAACAAATATTCACCCCTGGGAGGGGGCGGCGGCCTGCGGCCCCGAGCTTGCCCGCCATCGGGTGGGGCCCCTGAACAAGCCGACCCCTCCAACGCTCACGCTCGGCGGGCGTCGCGCGCTGCCGAGGCGCAGGGGGCGTGCCAGGGCAGGCTGAAGACAAACTCCGGGCCTGCATGTTGGACAAGGCGCCGCGTCTGCGGCATAATGTGCAGGGGGGCCGAACGAGGATGTCGTGGCCTCGGGCCAGGGCGACCTCCCCCGACCCGCCCGGACGAGGCCCGCCCGCCTCCCCGCCCTCCTCCTCGGCGGCAACGGCAGTCGCGGCACGGCCGCGGGCTGCCTGGCCCCGCGTCCGCAGGGCCCGCGCTGCAGCGGCAGGCGCCGTCGGTGGCGGCGGCGCTGCTGGCGCCGCCGTCGGCGGGGCTGGGCTGCTCGACCGCGCTCGCATCGCGCGAGCCCCCGCTCCACCAGCCACCTCGCGCGCCGACTCCTCCAGCTCCTACAGGGGGGCCTCCAGCAAACCACCCGATGGGGGGCGCAGGAGGAGATGGGGGCACGGCGAGAGGCAGGGGCAGCAGGTGCACCCCCCGCAGCTCTGAGAAGGCGACCCACGATCGCAACACGTCGGGCATCGTCCGAGAGGCTGCCCCTGGGACGCCCCGAAGAGGAAACGTCGGGTCCCGAGCCCGCGACCTCCGAGGCAAACCAGCGTCCAGACAGGCCCGAGGGCTCGGTCGAGGCCAGCACGCGGGCAGATCGATCCAGCTCGAATCTTGGGACGACTGGTATCCGCGCAACCTGCGACGAGACCTGGGCGGGGGCGCAGAGGGGGCAGGGTCGCCCTCTTGCCGCCTGGGCGAGCGGCTCGCCCCTCCCCGTGCCACAGCCAGTCTCGGCCCTTACAGCTGGGGCCGAAGCGGCGGCGACGGCGGCAGCGGCGGCCAGTGCCAAGGCCACCGCGGGGGAGAGGCGCGGAGGGGCAGGGCTGATTGGGCGCCCGAATTATCCGGGGTAACTCGGGCCCGGGGTAACTCGGGTTTGGATCCCCAGAAAAGGAACCCGAGTTAGCCCTGACCCGAGTTATCCCTGATGATTCGGGGCTCTGGACGCCCGAGTTATCCGGGGTACCTCGGGCCCGGGGTAACTCGGGTTCGGAACCCCGAAAAACGAACCCGAGTTAGCCCTGACCCGAGTTATCCCTGATAATTCGGGGCTCTGAGCTGACTTTCTCGGCCTGCACGGCCGCCTGGGTGCGGAGCCTGGCCAGGCGGGAAGCCGCGCAAGAGAACGATTCCCGACGTCGCATGGTCTCTCCCGCGCGAGCGACGCGGTTGCAAGCCGTGCAACGGACCCTCCCTCCAGGGAGCTCTGCATACTTGTGCGCAACAAACGCGAGCAGTTAAGGTGGCCGAGGTTCGGGGGGGGAGTCGCCGAGGGCCAGCCCCCGCGGGGTCCCAGGCGCCCCAGCCAGCCGCGCGAGCAGAAGCCCTCGCCAAGAAACGAGTCTCCAGACAGCCCCCCCCCCCCCCGGCGAAACTCAAGACTACGAGCCAGGCCCCTCTTGGCGGGGCTGGCCAGGTCCAGGGCAACACTCGCAAACAGGTCGGCCCAACCATTACCGAGCCAATCCTGGAGGTCAATATTGAGCTCAGTAGCCTGGGCCAAGGACTTGCGCGAGGGGATCCATCCAAACGAGGGCGGCCAACTGCCTTGGCGGGCCACCGTGGCACGTAGGGCCATCCAGAAAGCAGCATGGAGAGCCCAAGCAGACGCGTCGCGAGGGCTCCACCTGCGCCCGTCCTCCACAGAACTTAACGGGCACGAGGCGAGACTAGTGACCTGGGACGGGGGGCAAGTAGCGATCAGCCCAGCATATCTCTCAGCTCTCGCCACCGTCAGCACCCCTGGAAGAATGCCGATAATCGCCTTATAGGGCCAGCCGTCGTCTCGCAACTGGAACGCGGCCCACGAACATCTGGCAATCTCTAGAGAGCACATGCCGAAACCACCGCCATCAATGTGCAGACGGCCGGCCCAAGGCAACCGGCATCTCCCCAATGGTGCACGCAATCGGGGCACATTGGCGGAGTCTCAGCGGGAGGGGGCTTGGGCGGGATGGCCCAGGCGAGCCTCAGGGCCTCATGGGGCTCATCCAGGGCAGACTCCAGGGCCTGCTGGTCCAAACGCTCGCGGGTCCTCATGATGGCTTCTGGGGGCTCCGTCTCGTGCAGGGTAGGGCCCAGGAGCGCAGGGGACTTGCGCCAACAATGGCCGCGGGTCTCATGCTGTGCACCGCATGCCAAACAACGACCATCAGTGGTCAGTCTCTTCTCAAACCTTTCTGGCGATGCCACATCGCATCAGCCAAACGCGCTACAGCGAGCCTCGTTCGGAAAGATTTCGAACGGTCATATCCACGCACCGCCGAATGCCGCGGTACCCGAACTTCTTGCCATTGTGCCCATCGATGTGGCTCTCGGCCCGGGCCAACAGCCAGCGCGTGACCCAATGGTTGACTTGGTCACGGACGTCGCGGGGTGACATCTCCAGGAGGTACAACACAGTGCCAAGGGCGGCCTCGAACGTGATAGCCGAGCTGAGCCGCCAGCCGATCCGAGCCAAAGAGAGCCACGGCGCGCCGATGGGTCCACGTACTCTGCCCCAGCTGGGCCGGGTGCGCATCTGTCCGTCCACGAACCGCCACGTGGCCCTGATGGCCTGCATTTCCACCCGGCCTTCCAGAGTTGGGTCGCATACATGTTGACGGTGCTGGTGGTCGCCGTGTAGAGCGGGTCGCACAGCGCCTGTTCCTGCATGGGCATGCCCGTGCAGATGCTGCCCGTGGGGCGCACCCCTGCCAACATGGCAGCAACCGAACGGATCGGCTTGAGCGCGGCGTCTGCGACCCCACTGACCGAGGCCCCGCGCGTGATCGAGGGTGCGAGACCAGCCGTCTGGGCGCGCGTCATGCGCCTGGCACCCACTGCCTTCTTGAGAATCGTGGATCGTCGAACTCGGCCGCGTAGCTGCGCAAGTCTGTCGGCCTCCTGGCGGCGTCGCACTCTGGGTCCACCAAACTCGTGCCCGAGGTTGCGGATCCACGGTGGGCCTGTGATTTACCGAGCCCGCGCCGCCAAGCTGAACCGCCGCGCAGCGCGACTCGACGAAGCCACATAGCCCAGCTTCGTGATCTGGATGGGCAGCTTGAGGGACTTGGGCTCGTGCGTGAGCTGGTCGATACCTTCGGCGAGCTCCAGCGGCCAGCGGGGCCAACCCACTGCAACGACGCGTCGTCCACCAGCTGCCTGGACTGCAGCGAGCAGCCTGCCGCGATGCCCTGGAAGGAAATGTAGAGCTCACTCTCGCTGCCGTGGGCCCGCGCCACGCGAGGCTGGCAGTGTAATTGCACCAGTAGCCATGCAAGTCTCGGTGGGATTCCCAACAATACTGCAGGCGCAACCACTTCGAAACATTTTATCAAGCCCACCATGAGTGCGATCACGTCCTGTTGCCCGGCCAGCGCAATCTCCGAGGAAAGGTGATGGGCGACAGCGGAGGCAGAAGAACTCCTGCCTGGGCCAAGCCCTCAGGCGTGCTCCTCTGGACGGGTGGCTTCCCACTGGGCTGCCAGCGGGCCTCGCGCGCGACTCCAGAGGCGAACCGCCGTGTTGAGTAGCCAGATAAGTCTCAGGCCTCCTCCAGCTTTTGGTAATCGGGCCAGGACAGTCACGATGCGCTGCGGCGACCATCCAAGGTGATGCTCGCAGGCGTGGGATAGTAGCGACGTCGCCAGCGAAACCCCGTGGGAGAGGACGTCGAGTTGCCTCGGGCGGAGGCCTGCTTGGCCAACGGCCGTGCCCTGCTTGGAGAGCGGATGGCCGAACGCAGGTCTTGCACCGCGAGGTGCGGGAGCCCTTGCCACTGCTCAGCACCAGGAGGGGGCGAGGCCTCGCCGAGCTGGTGGTGCTGCCAAATGGCCTTCCAGTCGCCAAGTTCGGTGCTCGCGAGGTCGCTCGGGTGGCCCGCGGGACTTCTACCTCCTGCCTCGGCTTAGCGAACCCGCGTGCCAGCCCAGCGCCTCGCGCTAACGCGTCTTTCGTACAAGTGGCCCAAGCTTTGGTGCACCTAGCCTCAGCCTCCGCAGCGAGCTGCTTGGCCTTGGCGATGATGCCCTGCAGTCGGACCTCCACCGAGCGGCTGGCCAGCATCTCAGGGCCGGCCTGGAAGATCCAACGAGCACCGTCATCCAGCTGTCTCAGGATGTGCTGCCGCTTGCTGATGCGCCCACAGAGCGCCTCGAAGGCGAGCAGCTCGGCGGCCAGGCTATGGAGCTGCGTGTAGTGTTGCAGCCAGTGTAAGACCATTCCTCTGGCAGCTCCTGGTGGCCGCGGCTGAGGTGCACGGCCTGCTCGATCGCCCGAGCGCTGGTCGAGCCGCTCCCGCTGCTGCTCGAAGGCTCGCCAATGCATGTCCACCGCCTCGGCCCAGTCCTCCTCGGGGCGTTGGCGCAGCTGCTGGAGGTGAGCTCGGTAGCGGCTGCGACTGCGGCTGCCAGCCCTATGGGCCGACTCGCACATCTCACGGGCCAGATGCCACCGTCGCGCCTCTCGTGGTAGGGCCTCGTCCCAGCCGCCACCGCCCCGCAAAGCATCGAATACTGGGTCCCGCAACTGCTCCGCTGTGTACGGCACGCACCACTCCATCCAGTCGTCGAGAACGTCCTGCTCGGTCTGCTGGTCGTTGAGCGGGTCGCCGATCCAGTGCTGGGTGTACCGTCGGAGCTCCCGTTGGCATGCTTCTCGTCGTCGCTGCGCCACTACCTGGTCGGGGTCCTCGCCGCGGTCCTCGGGCGGAGCCTGGCTGGCTATCTTCGCCAGCGTCCATCGCGGCATGCGAAGACCCCCCCGTGGGTCGAGCGTCCAGCGGGGAGGGATCCTGACCAAGCCTAGGCAGGCCGCCAGACTCCGCCCGTGCAGCACCACCTCCATGTCCATCGTGAGCGAGACTGGGATCTGGAGACTGGCTATCTTCACTATCGTCCATCTTGGCGACGAACGACCTCCCCGTGGGTAGCGCGACCAGCGGGGAGGGATCCTGACCAGGCCCTTGCGGGCCGCCAGCCTCCAAACCACCCTGACCTTCTTCGGCGCCCAGCGGCGTCGCATCCAGTTCGTCGAACAGGTCCATCTCGCCGCCCATGTCGCGCCGCGTCGGTCTCGCAGGGAGGGCGACGGGGCGAACGTCGCAGCGCCTCTCCACGCCACCTTCAGCGACACCGTGCGCGAGGGCATCGGCCACCCCACCGCCGCGGGCCTCGCTCGGGCTCACAGGGAGGGCGACGGGGCAGGCGACGCAACACCTCACCAGGCCGCCAGGAGCAACGCCATGTGCGACGGCATCGGCCACCCGATCGCGGTGGGCCTCGCTCGGGCTTGCAGGGTGGGCGTCGGGGCAAGCGTCGCAAAACCTCCCCAGGCTGCCTTCAGCGACGCCGTGTGCGAGGGCATCGGCCACCCCGCCGCTGCGGGCCTCGCTCGGGCTTACAGGGAGGGCGACGGTGACGGGGCGGGCGTCGCAGCACCTCGCCAAACCGCCAGGAGCAACAACATGTGCGAGGGCATCGGCCACCCCACCGCTGTGGGCCTCACAAGCAGCAGGCCCTTTCCCCTGGACGCACGGGGCGCGCGCAGTTGCGCTGTCGTCGATCGCCGGGCCATGCTCTCCAACCGGCGTTCCCAAAAGTCACTCCCAAAAGTCGAGAAAGTCACTCCCAAAAGTCGAAACCGGAGCTGGCCTGACCTCTGAAGGCGTAGCTGCAGAGCCCTCCTGGCCGCTTCTGCCCCCCTGCGCGGCCGGCACGCCGCTGGAAGGGGCAGACGGCACGCGCGATGAGGGGTCAACCTGACCACCTCGTTGCTCGTCTTTTTCTGATCGGCCAGGGTGATTGTGAGCTGGGCGACTGTCTTGCTTGCGTAGCCGCGCATTTCCATGATGTGCTGGGCCCGCCTGGCCGCAACAGTCCACGCGCTCACGTCTGGCCCGTGGCGTGCTCGTCGCGCAGGGGGCGCCGTTGGAGTGGGCGCGTGCGCTGCTGGTCTGGGCCTCCTGTGCCCACGTAGCGCTGCTTGCGAGAACCGACGATGTCGTGTCTTCCTGCAAGCTGCTCCTCAACGGCTCGGAGGACCAAATCCCATGCTGTCGCGAGCTTGGGAAAGAACTGCGCCTGATCGATAGAGCCGTATACCTGCTCCCAGCCGTGCCAGGGGTAGCGCGCGCACCCCACAGTCAGCTCCCGAGGAAAGGGCCTCGGTTCGTCGAGCTCGCGGGCGATCGGCGGCTCTGCGTGCTCGGCAATTGCCAGCGTGACGGGCCGATGCGGCCAGGTGGTTCCAATGACGGAGACGCCAACCTCGAACGCGACGCCAAGCAGCATGGGCCCATGCACCAACAAATAATCCAGCGTCGTGGCAGGCAAGGGCCTGCATGCAGGTCGGCTCCAGCGGGGCAACGTGCCTGGCGCTAGCCAAGGGGGGCTAGTCATGCTCCAGCAGCTCCTGCGGCGACCTGTTGAAGTCGCCACCGACGACCCACGCAAGCCCAGGGCCTGCGACCACGCGCTTCACATACTGCACGACCTGCCACACCAGTGCCAAGTTGCGGGGCAACCTGCCCTCACCCGCGTGGACGTAGGGAGCCGCCGCCACGAAACTGCCAGGAAGGGCAGCATGGACATGGGCCGCCACGACCCTGCTTGGAACAAAGATGCCGTCGTCCAACAGCGGCGCCTGGGCGACGGCGATGCCGGTCTTGGCCAGGACCGCGACGCCTCCCTCAGGAGCCCCCAGCCGCGGTGGGCAGCGCGGGACACCAGACGCCACGCCAGCCAGCGTCTTGGGCGTCACCCTGCACCTCATAGAGCTTGTCAGAGCACGCGTGGTGCTCCTGCGCGATGACCGCGCCACTGCTGCAGTCGACGAGGTACTTGGACAATGTGCCAAAAGAGTCGGCATGCAACTGCGGTAATCTGCAACTTGGATCTCGTCATGATCGGCGACAGGGAGAACTCAGGCCGCGCGTGGCTTCTTGACCACCTTCGACTTGGGCTTGTCCAGGCGTAGGCACTCGACAGCTGCTCGGAGCTCATCCTCGGAGGCTTCATCAACATTACAGAACTCAACACCACAATCGCGCAAGTAGTCGCGAAGCTCTTCTGCAGTGGCCTGGTCGACCGACCCCTCCTCCTGGACCTCATCGGCGTCGCCTGCCATGGCAGCATCCTGCTGCTTTTTGGCTGCCTGGGCAACTGCTTCAGCTGCCTGCTTCTCGTTGGCCTCTCGCTGGGCCTGGGCTCGCTGCTCCTGGGTCTGGCGGCGCTGGCAAATCTTGCCAACCACTGCAGCCACCTCCTGCTGAAGGTCAGGAGCAGCGCCAGCAGCCAAAAGCACCTGCTCCAGCTTGGGCAGCGCCCAGCTGCTCTGGTCGTTGCTGCGAGGCGAGCTCCGCCTGCAGGGCCACCGGCCGCGCCTGCTTCGCCACGCGGGCGTTCTGCTGCTAGGTGATATGCTGCTCGACCTCGGCGATCTTGAAAACGAAAGTTTTGAGCCGCAGCGACGGCGGCTTCTCCTGAACAAGCTGCGCCCGCAACGTGGCCTGCTCAGCTCTGCGTTGCGCCACCAGCTGGGCAACCTCTGGAGTGTCGACGCCAACCAGTTGGTTGAGGAATCCATCCAGCTCGTCCAGCCGCTTCCTGACAGCAGACTCGGCACCGGTGTCGCCCTCGCCGCTCTCGACGCTGGCGGGGGGCGCGCTCGCCTCAGGAGCCTTCGTCTTCGCCAGCTTGAGCTCCGACGCGAGAGTGCGCGCCTGCTTCTGCGTCTCCAGCAGCTGCGCCGAGATGGAGCCTGCGCCTCTGCCTCCACCACCGCCATGGGCGCAAGGAGCTGGTTTGGATGGAGCGGTGGTCTTGGCGAGGCCCCCGCGCGCGACGCTTTTTGCCAGACCACAACTGTTGCAGCATCGCTTCTCTGCGAAGTTGACATAGGGCACGCGGCCGCGTCCCAGACAGGATTTGCAGAGCCAGTTGCCACGACGCGCTGCGCAAGCGCCTGGCTTCCCTCCAGCGGCAATTGGCGCCATCATCGCTCCTCAACCAGGCTCGGAAGCTGTGCCCGCGAGACGCAGGATGACGGCCAGGCTGGCCACAATAGAAAGAATATTGCTCGAAGTCTGTCGCCTCGAGGCGCGGACCTCCTCGCGCTCGGAGACGCCCGAGAACTGGCCATCGCTCGGACGTCCATTCCCTGCGCGTGTTTTTTTCGGTTTCGCGCGTTGCTTTTTCGCCAAATGATCATGGATGCTCCTCGATGGCACCCGCCGAAGAAATGCACGCGTCAGAGCGACGCCGAGGGAACGGACTCGCGGTCGTCGGGCGGTTCATAACCTTGAGCCGGAATGGCTACGGACACGCGCGCGCGTGTGCGCGCTGGTGTTTCGCCCGCCCCTTCTTCCCCCACCGCGCCTCGAAACCTGCTGTCGCTCCAGAGGTGAAGGCATAACTAAGGGCGCTCAGATCGACGATTCTTTGGCGAAAGCACCCGCTGCCCTGTCTGTGGCGGGCGACTGACCACACAACTGAATATCGCCCCCCCCCCCCCCCTCCCCGTGAGATACCGCGTCGCGGCGCATTGGAGGGGCGCCCCCTTTCCAGCGAGACGAAATGGAGAGGACCTAACTGCATGATGAGCGCTGGCTGGAATGGAACAGGTAAGCCATGATGGGCATCCCCGGGCAGTCGCAAAGACAACTACTAGGCGGTGGGTTCTGCAGAGATAGGACAGCTGGCGGCGCGCAGTTCGTCTTGAGAAGTCCGCGCGGGCCAGGGAAACAGCGCGGGGAGATGGCGGGGGGGCAGGACTGGAAGGGGGGGGGGGGCGCATGGCGGAGATGGAGGGAGATGGGGCCAGAAGGGCGGGGGAGGGGGCAGAGACAGACAGACGGCCATGCGCCGGGGCGCGCGGGCGGAGGTGAAAACTGCCAGCCTCTTCCCACCGCTTTGCGGGGAAGCGGCGCGCCTACTCTGACAGGTCACTCTCGCGCTGCAGGGGGGAGGGGGGGGAGGGGGGGCGAGAGGGGGGGGGGGGGAGAGACACACTAAATCCACGACAAATTGTGGCCGCGCTGCTGGTTCGCTGACACATTGCATCATTGCTCGCGCAGGCGCGAAGTGCGGAACGACGGCTTTGGATAACAGTTGGCCCGTTCATTTCTGGGCTGGTCTCTTGCGCCGCCGCGCGCAACTGCGGCTGGTCGCAACTGCGGCTGGCCCCGCAAAAAGTCTGAGTCTGTCGCCCTGCCTATTTTGCCAAGCCAGGACAGTTGAGACCTTGACGGCTGCACTGTGCAGGGCCCGCTGGCAACAGCACCTGCTCGTTGGAAATTCTTCAGCAGCAAGCGTGGGGAATGTGCAAGATGCGACGTGAGCACCTCGCTTGGATGCCATTTAGCGTTCAGATTTGTTGAGCCACACCGACTTCCGCGAGCACATAGCTTTACTTGTCAGGAATGCATGAAACGCTTGAGGCCAACTACCCCAAAGCAGCTCCCAATCTTCTGCTCAATTCTCCAGATAATTCCCCGGGGCTAGACAGGCTCCAAGATACACCGTCGACGCTCGTGGTTGGATTTGATCAGCAGTTGGCGCGCAGAGGTTGATGTCGCAGCGATGCGGCATGAATTGAAGCTTGTTCCAGCGCAGCTACATGCCCGCCCGTGCTCCTGCAAGAGGGATTTCTGCCAGGACGGCTTGAACATGATCTTGGTTGCGACCCACAAACAAAGCGCCATCCGCATGCAAATTGTATAAGCAAAGACTCGTCCGTCAAATCTTGTCGCGCTGCAGCCCCCGCGGTGCGCGCGGCGTCCCGGATAACGATCGCCATCGCCAGCGCGAACAGAAATGGGGACAGAGACTCCAGAAAGTTCGTGTCTCTCTGTAGACCGCCACCGCTCATCTCCAACGCGAAATGTTCTGCCGCCGCAAGCGTTGCCAACGATGTTCGGGATGCGGCCCGGGACCCCGAAGTTTTCGGGGCGCCTCCATGAGCGCGGCCGCGCTGATCGAGTCGCAAACCTTCGCCCAACCCAGCGCGACGAAGGCTGCGCCTTATTGCTTGTCTGCAAATGCCAACTCAACGCAACGACGCGCAGCATGTAGTTCGTCTGATGTCACACGCCCTCGGCGGAAGCCACACTGTGTTGGCGTTGACTTATCCTCGGCCCCAGCGTCCTGTTGCCGCTTCAAGATGAGCGCTGCCATGGTATTGTAAGCCACGCGCAGCAGACTGATTGGACGAGAATTGTCGCAGTTGTCAAAGGCGCCTCTGTTCTTGTAGATTGTCGAAATGATGGATTGCTTCCAATCCTCTGGCACGGCCTCCTCGTTCCCACATTTACTGCGCAAATCCGTGACCCATTCGAGCCCGCCTGGGTCTGCAGCAATAGCTTTCCAATACTCGGCTGGTGCGTCATCCATTCCGCAAGTTTTGCCACGCTCACGTATAGAGGTTCTTACCTCTTCTGTTGTGCAATTTCCTACCAAAAGTAAAAACTATCTGGTATCCAATAGGGCCGCGGTCGACTAATTGTGCTGGTCGTGCTTTCGATGGTACTTTCCCCAAATACTCAGCCATTGTGTCCGCTCTGTGGGTGCTGTCGACCAATTCGCCACTCATGTGTCAAGTCTTCCCTGCCGGTGAGGTTCTGGCTGGCAATATTTTCTGAGAGCATCCCAACTTCCACCCAAACTGTCCGGTCATAATTGCACGCTTTGCGGGCTTTGGTCAATCATATATTCTTCTCGGTTTTGCCGTTGGCTGCTCTTGCTTGGTTGCTCCGGTCGATCAAGTCGAGCGTGGCTTGCGTGATCCATGGCTTGACGACTTCATTTTGCTTATTCGGCAAAGTGTCGGTTGCGAGATGCATTGCTGCCTTCACATAGTCCCACATCTAATGCACGTTCATGGACTCCGCCGTCGCCGAAGACACGTTTTCTAAGAATTACTCCACGTATGTATTCAAAGTCATCGGATCTTGCACGGCCTGCGTATTTGGACGGCCTTCTGAACATGTCGTTGGGGTATCTTTGGGCATCGATAGTGTAGCAATCACCAAATGAAGATCTGTAGCGAGTGTAGCTTCTCGGCGGCTCTCCAGCGTGACAATGTGCGTTCGCAAAGGGCTTCGCAAAGGAACAAATCCAAGATGAACTTTTCTTCTGAAATGGCGTCTGCTGTCAATGCCCCGGCCTCCATGAGTGTGATGTTCTCCTCCAACGGCTGCTGCATAAAACTGTGAACAGTCTGAATGTGGCCACTCGCACGGAATTCCGCCATCAAGTCTCGATTCGGTTGCTCCACTTGGTGTAGCGCACGCCGTCGCAAATACCAGTCTCCCATGATGTTTTGCTCTCCCGGAAAGGAATCCCATGATAGGGGGAGGGGATGAGTGAGAAATTGGAGGAGGAAGATGGGGAACGATGAAGGGGTGCAGGATGGTGACGAAGATCAGCCCGACAGCCCGACACCTTGGAACACCACAATGGTCGGGAAGGTCATGCACGTGTTTCAACGGGCCATCCTATCTTCATACGCTTCGAAACGGAACTGGGGAAGGCTGCCGTCGGCTCGCTTCTGGATGATCCGTATAACGTTTTACGGCCGAAGGTTTACGTAAGGGCGATCGGGCAGCCTGAAGGGAAAAGTACTTACGCCCCATCCAGATTGCCAGGCCATTCACTCTTTCTAGTTTTGTGAGCACGCGTTAACATGGATTAGGGATCCGTGGATCTGGCGCGCGGGCGGCAGATCCATGGAACGAGGGACGTACCCTGCAACACATGAGGCCTCTGCTGCGTGATTCGGCGACGGACAGCGCCAATCCTGTACGGGAATTGGACTCGTCGCGATTCCACGAGCCTCAATCCATGTTCTCGCTTCCTCGAGCCATTCTGCCTGCAACGATCACTATCGCTCATCAACTCCCCCCCCATCCTCCTACAACTCCTCATCCTCATCCCTCTCCACTCCTGCAGGGGGGAGGGTACACCGACGCCGAGAGACGACGACGTCCGCGGCGACAGACGATTACGAGCGACGATGACCGACGACGACCGACAACAACAAACGACAACAATCGACGACGACCGACGACGACGACATTCGACGACGACGACGACATTCGACGACGACCGACGACAAAGACGAAAAACCACGACCGAGCGACGACGACGTCCGACCGACGGCGACCGACAACGACGACGACGGACGAATGTCTGACGGCCACTGCCCAGAATGGCCAGAGCCCCCCACTGAGTCGGGGAAGCATGCGTTGACATGGAATCGGCGATACATCGCCGATAGATGCACGATAATGGTGGGGTGGGGCTGCTGGGCCCCGATGGCAAAAACGCACGACCACGGGCAGGGTGGAGCGCCCGGGCCCCGATATGGCCGTGAATGGGGCGATCGGGGGCCGATGCTTCCTGCCCGATCCAGTCCCCGCTGCCGTTGCTGTTGATGCAAACCACGCCCGCCGACCGACGCCCGACGAGGACGACGAACGGCCGACGATCAACAGCGACCACCGACCGGCGACGACGACCGACCAAGCGACGAAGCCCGCTCGACGAATACGAACCATAGGCGGTTGATTGTCGACGACGACCATGAACTGTCCGACTGCAACGGGTAGAGGCACCCAACCCTGGCCTCCGGCTTCAGCGACGCACCGCCCACCAGGAAGCCGTCGATGTCTGGCTGGGCCTGCGTCTTGGCTGCCGCCGTCGCCGCCGCAGCCCGCCGCCCGTCGCTCAGCCCGTCCGCCGTCGTCGTCGTCGTCGTCGCCATCGTCGGCGGCGTCGTCGGTCACCCGCTCAAGACCTGCAGAAGAATAGGGCGTCCCGCAAGACCGGCAGAGGCGATCCCAAGGTGGTCAAGACAGCCCAAGGAGGGCCAAAGACGTCTCCGAGACAGTCTTCACACCTTCCTGCACGGCCAGCGAGACCCAGAGGGCCCGCGCAGTTGCCAAGAATAAAGAAGGAGACCACGATACTCGAGGCTGGTGAGGGTACTCCCAATCAGTCCCCTCCTCCTCCTCCGAGTCCCGGCGGCGCGCCGCGGGGGAACCGAGGGCGGACAGCCCTCCTCAGAAGGCGCCGGGGCTTCGGAAAAAGCTTGGAGAGCTCATCAGAAGGCGGGAGGTTTTCTGATCCTTCGTAGAAGGCCCGCATCCCCCCCCCCCCCGCCTTCCCCCCTTGGCGCGCCCAAGATTGCAACAGAGCAATAACCCAGCGCCAGAGGTGCCATCAGGAGGGCCAAAGGCCGATCCAAAAAGTCCACGCTCACCTCCAAGAAATGATGTGAAGCAGTCAATCGGTCCGCTCCTCTTCCTCCAAGTCACTTATCCTTGCGCTTCGCGCCGCAGCCCTGGAGAAGGGGGCAACCTGGGCGGGAAAAGGCCGCCTGAGCGCGCTGCGCGGCCGTGTTCGCGCCCCCGCGGATCCGAGGGGGACGGCGCGCTCATCATCGTGCTCTTGCTCGCGCGTCTCCTCGACGTGGGATCGCCAACGCCAACGCCAACGACGGAGACGACAACGGATAACCGACCCTCAACAAAGGCAAAAGCCCAATCTCTCCCTCGCTCGCTCGCTCGCTCTCTCTCTCTCTCTCTTTCTCTCTCCGATTTTTTGTGTATGTGTTTTTTTTTTGTTATTTTCTCTCTCTCTCTCTCTCTCACTCCCTTTTCTCATCATCAGTTCACGCCAAGAACCTCCACGGACCTCCAAACACTTCTGAATGCTACACAAACTTTGCGCGTGCAAAACCTTGGGAATCCTTCGAGGACCGACCCTGTGATCCGACGCCACGAAAAACAACTCGCAACAAACACTCAGCCAGAACCAAGGACCCCATCTATCGACGGAATGTTTTGATCCTCGGCCCGTATCGATCTTTGAAGGCCCAAGGGCCCGACACGAGGCAGCATAGCCCGTTGTGACAGAAGGCCCCGCCAGGATCTCAGGGGACGCCGCCGCCGCCAAGGACGGCCACTGCGGCAAACGACGGACCCCACCCGCGCGCAGCCGCGGGGCGGCGCGCCGACAGGTCGGGCGCGTTGGCGGCGTTGGCGGAGCCGCCGTACTGGATGCGGATGCCCTCCGCCACGCTGGCCGACGCGTGCTTGGCGATCAGGTCGCGGATGCCCTCTTGGGGAGGGCTATCCCGCCGCCTCCCCCAACGACCCCTGAGATTCCAGCGTTGCCACTGTTTCACAAGGGGCACTTTCGCCAAATTTCGGGCCCCGGGAATGTTTAGAGCGTTATCCCGCTTTGAAAGCATAGGTACCGCGGCGGCGGCGGCGGCAAGACGACGGCGGCGGCGGCAAGACGAGAGGCAATCAGCATCAGGCGACCAGCTCATCGACCTTCACGTGGCCGAAAGCGAGAGAATCGGCGAGAAACTTGCCCGATTCGGAGTAGCCCGACTCGAGGGCAGAATCAGTCGGCTCCGATGTCCCGAACAAGCGCAGGCGCAGGCGACGAAAGAGCACGCCACGAAGGCGGCGACTGCGGCGGCGCAGGCGGAAAGGCAGCAGACCCAGAGCACCGCCACCACCCACTGCTGCGGCGAGGGCCCGCCGGACTCCTCGCCTGCCCCGTCTTCCCCCCCTCCTCCTGGCACCCGAGGCTTCGCCTGCCACAAGGAGCGGTTTTCAGAAAGGCCTACGAGAGCCAGATAGGGTCGGGCCGGGCAAAAGGGGGGGATAGCAAAGGGGGGGGTGAGAATCAGCTCACGTAGCTGATTTTCCCGGCGCCTCCCAGTGCCGGGAGGCGCCCATGTATCGAGGAATGGGCCTGGCGGCGGGGCCGAAACCTGCTGCATGCAGCAGATTGCGTAACCCCCCTCCTTTCCCTATCCCCTCCTTTCGTTCGGCCCGATGGGGGCCCGGAGGGTCCCTGCAGGCCCCGTGGGAGTCCCAGGAGGGAGCCGAGGAACCGACGCTCCTGGCCCAGAGGAGGGGGCGGCGCGCTGATGGAGACCGCCACCGTCGTTCTCGCCAGCTGCGTCCCGGAGTGCGTCTTTCGCCAGGTGCGTCCAGGCGTGGCCCAGCCCCCGAAGACGGCCCAGCGAGCGAGGCATCCCCCATCTGGCCCCCCCAGGGTCTGGGGGGGCTGCTGCCAGGAGTGCCCCCTGTCGGTGGCGCGCACAAGGGGGGTATGGGGGAGGGGGAAAGGCTGCTCAGAAGGAGGCCGCCTCTTAGAAGGCGCGGGCCTTCCATCTACAGACAGGGCCCGCGCCTCCTAACGAGCAACCTTCTTCCGGGCGTTGGCAGAACTGGGTTTAGTGGGACCCGGTTTAGTGATGTGTCCTGGGGGACGCCCCTCCGCCACGTTCCACTAACCGGAACTGCCGTCACCCGAAAAAGCACAAATTACGGCAGACCTGGCTCAGTGATGCTGGCCAATGTAGGGGCTCTGAGGCCCTACCACTAACCGGATACCCTTACCTGGGGTGCTGGCTATGACCGATTCTTCTCCGAAGCCCCCCCCCCCACGCATACACACAGACATACACACAGAGACACACACACACACACAGGCACACACACACACACACACCCTCTGCGCGAGACCGACCCTGGACCGGGGGCCCCCTTCAGGATTCCCCAGAAAAGGACTCCACGGCCTCCACAGAGCACCCCCCCGGCGATGCGCAGAGGGCCCCCTGGGGCTCCCAGTGCGGAGCGAGGAGCAGGGGACACCTTGCGAGGGGCAGCGACAGGGGGGGGAACAGCTCAGGGGGGAAAAGCACCGAGCTGGAGTCGATGATACGTCGCCGATAGATGGGCAAAAGGCCCCTGGTTGCAAATCCGCACGTTCTTGGGCGGGGTGGGCTGTCGGAAATGAGTGCGCGTTTGGGGGTGGATGCGTCCCCCCCTGAGCCAACTCCCCCCCCCCCCAATGCTGCCACTGAACCTTGGGCCAGGGACACCTTTCGCAACGTCCCGACAAGCTGCGCCCCGACTTACGAGGAGCGCTGGAGACCGACGACCCGAGGAGCCCCGAGAACCCCTCCAAATCCTGCGTGGCCCCCGCTCTCCAAGGCTTTTTGGCTGCACCCCGGCCCATCCACCCGAGCCCGTTTCCTCCCCACGATGGCGGCCGTCACCGGCCGCGCCCACCCTCGCCACGCCGGCACCCTGTCCCAGACCCACCCCGCGGGGGGGGCAAAGCGTGACGCTACGGGCCCCCGTTTCTCCCCCCCCCCCGTAATGGGCATGTGTTCCACAACTACCACCATAAGTTGGAGGGGGAGGGGGCCCTCCTCCTCCTCCACCTCCTCCTCGTCCTCCTCCTCCTCGTTCTCCTCCTCTTTATCCCCGCCCTCCAACTTATGGTGGTGGTGGTGGAAAACAGGGCCATCACCCCTCCCCCGACGCCCGCGGTCCCAGGTGAACAAAAGCCACAGGCCGCTCCAGGCCACCCCGCCCCTGGTGAGACCCGCAATCCCTGGGGGGGGATGCACGACGAGCAGGCGCCTCTCGCTTCCAGCCTCTCCGTCCCTTCGGCTGTATAAGCAAGAGTGAACCTATAGGCCCTACAAGCAAGAGTGACCTGAGGTGCGCAGCCGTAGGGGGCCTCGGGGGAGGCCAGATCCAATCCATCCACACGCGCCAGCCAGTGCTGGTGGGACCCCTTGTGTGCTTTGGGCGGTGCTGAATGGGCGGCGATACGTGTGGTGGAAGAAACGTGCACCTTTCGTGCCCCTCTCTGGGTCCCAGGGCCCAAGGGGCACTTTCGGGGCCCCTGTATGGCGCAAAAGGTGCAGGCCTCTCCGCTTGGACGCCTCCCCGCTCCCCATCCCCCTGGCCTTCACGCCTCGAAGTTGGAACCGGTCGGGGGGTCTGCGCTGGATGGCCCCACGAAATCTGGTCAAGAAGGAAGACGACTGCAAATCCGCTCAAACTCGGTCGTCCGCGCCCAGCCGGGGTTACGAGGAGGCAGCTCTCTCACCCCGTTCTGCGAGCGGGGACCAGGTGCTCGGCCACCTCAGCCCCCAGCCGGCTCCAACCTCGAAGCCCTCTCCCCTCCCCCCTCCCCACTCGCCGGGGGGTCGGTCACAACTCCGCGGGAAATCAGATCACCTTGCAGGTCCGATTCTGAGCCCCCTTCTCATGTCCTGGAGAGAGATCGGCAGTGGACAAACCTCCCTTTAGTAAACCACCCTTGAGTGAAAACTGCCTATAGGACCGAAACCGACGGACCTGGACCCGCAAAAATGACAGCCGCGACGTCCTCTCGCGAACCGGAAACAGCCAATTCGCTAATCGAAGTGTCAGGGTAGGAGGCCTATCAACCTCCGAAGAGAGAGAGAGAGAGAGAGAAAGAGAGAAAGAGAGAGCGAGAGAGAGAAAACAAACAACAAAAAAGCAACACCGGCACCACCAGCGCGAGGCGCCAAAGAGGGTCCTCCTGGTGTGGTGGTCTCCCCCCCTCCCGCGAGGCACCAGGGGAGGCGCCCTGGGCACCTCGCTCGAGGTGGCCCCCGTGGTGGCGGTGCCGGTTCTCCTCCCTCCGACGAGGGGACCGAGATCTCGACGGGAGGAGTGATATTTTTGAAGGGGCCCCAGGACGCACAAATAAATACACACACACACAAATCCCTGGGTTTCTGTCTTCCCCCCCACTTCCAATATTTTCCCATATTTTCTGGGGAATCGAGGATTAATTGTGTCTGTGTGGTTTTTCCTCTCCTGAATTTTCAGCTATTTCGCATCTCGCACCCTGCGAGTTGCGCAGCGGTGCCGCCGCGCGTGCCGCCCTCGCCACGGCGGCCTGCACTCTGGAGGTCGCGGCCGAGACAGGATCGGGGCCTGGCGCCTCACCTGCCCGGCCCAAATTCGCTCAACCTCGGTCCCCAGACCACTCCCGCTGTCCATCCTGACCCGTTGTTCGAAGCGGATCTGGCCGTGCCGGCGAAGAAGCCTCCAGGAGGCGCCTCGAAAAACGCCAGGGCAGGCCGCCGTTGCCTCGCCTACGATCTGGGCACCAGCGGGCAGCTCTCGGAGGGGCGCAGCTGCTGGAGCGCATCCCGAAGCTCGAAAACCGCCGAGAACCGCAAACGAAACGCTCGAAAACCTCTCCCCAGAGACATCCGACGATATGCTGCTTTCAGTGCGCGGGCAAGAGGAGGTCCAGACCCTTCCCCCAGGGCAAATGTCTGGCCTGGCTCCATTTGAATAGCCCCAGGGCCCGACACGACAACGGTCCCACGAGGCCAAAGCCGAGGACAAACCTCTAACACATGCCAGGAACTTTGGAAAAACGTCGGCGTCGTCGCTTTAGTCGTCGTCGGCGCCTTGTGCGTCGCCTGGGCGTCCTCCGGCGTGGCCGTCAGCCCGGTGCCGATGGCCCACACGGGCTCATAGGCGATCACCACCTCAGGTGCTGCGGTCGTCGTCCTCGTCGTCTGCGTCGGCCTCGCCGTCGTCCATCGTCGTCCTCGTGTTCGTCGTTCGTCGCCGCCGCAGCCGACGCCGCCGCCGCCGCCGCCGCCGTCGTCGTCGTCGTCGTCGTCATCGTCGTCGTCGTCGTGGTTGTCGTCGTCGTGTTCCTCGTCGTCGTGTTCGTCGTCGTCGTCGTCTGTTGTCCGTTGACCGTCGTCCGTCGCCCACCTCTCTAGGTCAGGCCAACCCCGTCGCCCCACTCGTGCGCGCCGCTGACACCCACCCACGCTCTCCATCCGCTCGCCAACCCGCCCACCCTCACATCCGTCCGTTACACCGATCAGTCCGTCCGTCCAGCCACCACACTCCCTTGAAGACAGGCCAACTTCGCAGCTCGCGCTGCGCGAAGCTTGCTCGCGTGGCGGCAAGATGTGCGCGTCATCGCGTCACACTCTCAAGGGAAGAACAGCACTCCGACACAGACCGCAAAGCGCGACTACGTGCACGTTCGCCCCTGCTCGTGACCCATGCCCCCGCAAGAAATTCAAAAATGAACCTGGCGCGACCCCAATTATTCGATTTTCTGCGAAAATAAAACCGACGAGCCCGAGGAACCGGGGGAACCCAAAGAACCCGAGGAACCCGGGGAACCTCCGGGAAACAGGCCACGTAACCTTAGGATGCTCCAGGGGCGGGGAACCCAAAGAACCCGGAAAACCCGAAGAACCTCCGAGGAACGGGCAATGCGTAACCATAGCAGGGGCGGGGAACCCGAGAAACCCAAGAACTGGAGGAACCTCCGGGAAACAGGCAACGCAATAATAGGAGGCAACGGGGGCGGGGAACCCGGAGAACCAGAGGAATCTCCCAGGAATCTGCGAGGAACGGGCAAAATAACATTCTGAGGCGCCAACCTTTGATTACTACCCAAAGTACCGCACGAGGAGCTCCGCGCAGGAGGAACCATGGAGGGTCCTCAAGAAAGGCGAGCCCTCCGAACCCAAACAATTGCCCGTGTCTCGACTGCATCGCGAAACCCAGACATCTGTTCGAAACCCGCTCCCGGCCCTTTCCAGGGCACCAGGCTGACCTGTTCCAGGCTGCGCCGGGCCATGGCCGCGGGAAGCCCCCCACGCAGACCCAGAAGAGGAGGAGGAAAGGCAGAAGACCGACCGACCGACCGAGAAGAAGTCTTCCGAGGTCCCTTCGCTGACGCAGTCGCAAGCGGGCTCCGCCGCGGCAGTCGGCCAGCATTTCGCGCGGGGATTGCTTCCTCCAGGTCCAGTGGACCTTCGGGGAAAAAACCATGCTGGTGCATGGATGTCTCCCCGCCGCCGATCCTCCTCCCTATGGTTGGTTCCCGGGCCATACCAAACTTTTGGCGGACTCTCCCAGAAATTCCAGTCCGGCCTCCCCAGAAAGATCTCGAACAAGCGCAGCTGATGGAAAACTAACGAGGACCCCTGAACCTACAGGAGCCATTCAGAAACACCTGGAAGCCGCATCTACTCCCCCCGCTCTGCTCGTTCTTCCCAGGCCATTTGATTATGTTCCCAGGCAGAACCTGACGACGACCCCAGAGAGAGACAAAGCTGAGTGCAAAGCACATGAGCACAAATGCCGTGGCCTTACAATGCGTCGCAATACCGCTTCACGGTTGCGCGCCAGGCTGCGGCAGAAATTACGCTATCTTGCCAGAGCAGCGGCAGGGCCTCCTCACCCCCCGCGGCCCGGACAGCGTGCGCAAAAACAGTTTCGATCCAAGTTTTCCGGGGGCGCCCCCGCTTTCGCTTGAAATTATGTGCTATAAGTTGGCATGACAAAGGGCGTAGGACCAGGCACCTGACCGGGTCATCAGCTGGCTTCCGGGCAATATGCCCCATGAGCAGCAGCTGACGATTCAGCAAAGTATTGCTCAGTGGGGCAGCAACTGCTCGCTCCAACACACTTGAATTTGTTACGCGGCTAATGTACGAATGAGGTATGCGAAGTATTTGCCTCAAGCATCGCACGTGGAATGCGTCGAGCTTCTTCGTCTCCGCCTGGTTCAGGAAGGCCGTGTGCAGACAATACAACAGTTTACTGAGAATGTAAGCGTTGAACACCTCCAGCTTCCTTGACTGCGCGGCACACTCGCTTCAACTTGTGGAATTCCGCCCGCGCGGCACCAAGTCGGCGGGAGAATTCAGGGCCGATCTTCCCGTCGCTCGAAATCAAGCTGCCCAGATATTGAATGCTCTCTTTCTGCGGCACCCAGGAACCGTCTGGCCTCGGAATATGCGCATTACAGCCAACGGCTAGAACTTCCAGCTTGCGCCAATTGAACTGTAGCCCGTACTGCGATCCGGCTTTCTCGATGCTGCGCATGTATGCCGTCGCTGTATCGGACTCGCCAGACACAAGCAGTGTGTCGTCGGCGTAGACCAACTCATGCACCGCCTGGGAAAGGTCCAGCAGTGGCCCGGCCTCCTCCTTCGCGTCTCGCAACAACACGGTCATCACGATTGCGAATAGGACGGGCGACAGCGGGCATCCCTGGCTGATGCCGAATTCCCGCGCCCTCGGCGCCGAGGTCGAGCTGGCATCCCGTGCACAGAAACTGCGCTCCCGGTAGATCGCCCGCACCACCTCCACGAACTTCGCGGGCACGCCAAATCTAACAAGAGCTAGTGCTAGAGACTCTGGGTAGACGCTGTCGAAGGCTTTCGCCCAGTCGAGAGCCAGCAGGACGACCTGCCCGCCCTTCTCGGCCCAAGTTATTCCAAGAATTCGCCGTGCCAGAAAAATGGCGTCCGCTGTTCCGTGCTTGGACTTGAAACCGAACTGAGTTCGCCTCATTCGGCTCTCGGCCCCGCCCGCTTTCAGCCGGCCAAGCAAAACTGCAGCGAAAACTCGGTAGCCCGCGGCCTTCAAGGAGATGGGCCTGCAGTTTTCACACTGGGCCACGTCTCCCTTCTTGAATAGCGTTGCGACCAGCGCCTCGTGCCACTCTGCTGGAACTTTTGCGTCGCTCCAGCACTTATTGCACAGCTCGACAGCCCATCTGCAGGCAGGCGCCCCAGCTCGGCAGATTGTCTTCCAAAACTCTGGCGGGATATCGTCTTTGCCAGATGCCTTGCCTTGCTTCATACGCGCAGCAGCGCCAGCGACTTCGTCTTCGGTGCTTGGGCCACATGGCACGGCAAGCTCGTCGCCAAGGGGGTCCCCGTCCGGCGCTGCGCTTGTCGGCCGCACTGCCCATTGGACTTTGCAAGGGTACTCTGCCATTGTGTCGGCGCGCTGGTCGGAGTCAACAAGACGACCTTCCATGTCGGCTAATCGGCCCTGCTGGGCTTGCGCTCCTCTTCTCAGTGTGCGTATCGGCGCCCAGTCTCCAGAGGCGAGTTGGCTCTCTAACCGATCCGAACGGTCCGCCCGGACGGAATCTCTGACAGGTCGGCGCAAGCGCCGCTCTTCCTGCGTGTTCCCGCGCGCTCTCGCTGAGTCTCTCTGGTCTATGAACTGGAGTGTCTTGTCAGAGATCCATGGTCGCCGCGGTCTCCTCGCTAGAGTCGGGAGAGCGTCTTTGGCAGCACAACGAAAGGCATCTGTCATGCTCGATGCGAGCTGCTGGACGCTCGCGCCCCCGTGCTCGCACCCACTTGAGCTCATGCGGTTACAGAAAGCATCGGGGAATGTGCCCGCCACCATTTCGTCCCGAAGCGCGCCAAGCCGTCGTCGAGGCTCGCGGGGGCCGCTGTCTTCGCGCGGGACGTCCACGTCCAGGGATGCAGCCGCGAGAAAATGATGCGACGCGATCGCCGTGTGTTTGACGCTTTGCACGCACTTCAAGCACCCGAGCCACTGCATGGACACGATCGCCAAGTCCAGCTGTCCGTAGTTCTGGTGGATTGGGGGGTCCGCCGGCGAGTGTCCTATATCATAGTAAGTAATCTGGCGCTCCGGAGGCTCGTCGAAAACTGTGTTGCCGACAGTGAATTTACGAGATGTGCAAAGTTCGAGCAGGAGCGTTCTGTTTGATTCCGGGTTGTGCTGCGCTAGCGGGTTCCCGAAAATGAACGGCCCCAGCACGTCCTCTTCTCCAGGGAAGCGCCTGTGCATTCTGGCATTAAAATCACCAAATAGCAGCACCGGTCCGTGGGCGGAGTGGCTGCCGAGGAAGCCGGCCAAGTCCGAGAAGAAAGCCTGCCGGTCGACGAACGGCTTTCCACTGTGCGGGGCGTAGGCGCTGCAGATGACGATTTTGCCCCCGCGGACCCGCAGTTTGAGGGACGCCATTCTCGAAGAGGCCTGTCTGAAACCAATAACGCTGCGACGTGCCAGCGGAGAGATCAGGAATCCAACTCCTGCCGTTGCTTCCGGTTCGTTTTCTGCCGTGCCAGACAGGATAAGGAGGAAGCCCCCGTCTGCGATCTCATACTAGGATTTGCCCTTGTGCGTTTCCTGAATGCAGAGAATGCTGATGTCCTCCTGCTGCATGTGCCGCTGGAGCTCTACAACCTTTGTCTCTGTAAGCCCTTCCACATTCCAAGTCCCAACTTTGAATTCCCGGCCAGAGACGGCAAGCCGGCCGCCTCGAAACCATTCTGCTTCATACGACCTTGTTGTGCAAGATGTATATATGGTACCAAAACTTGAGCTTGCAGTGTGTAGAACTACAGATGCTCTGGGTGAAACTGTGGGTGAAACTGTGCTCATGTGTTGTGTTTCCTGGTGCCCTTTGGCACCGCCCTTCTGCCCCTTCGAGCTCTTCATGCCCTGACCAGCTCGGGACAGCATGTCCGTGTTCTTCTGTATGAGGTCTTGCACGGCCTGGTTGTTGCGCAGCTCCTCCCAAATCTTCCAGTCGCCATGCCACTCGTATCGCGCGGCGTTGTCGTCGACGTGGACCGTCACCGCCTTCTCGCCGCCAGCTGTGAGCAGGTACGGAACCTCATCGGAGATCTTCACGTGGTAGTTGATCCGCCATTCGTTTTTGAACAACCGCTTCAAGCCGAAACAGAAGTTCCGGGCAGCACGCTCTGGGGCAGGACGATCAGAGGTCGCCCACAAACCTTTCCCTCCAGATGGCTGGAGACCCGCCGCACGGAGGAGGTCCACAGCGGTGTCTCTCTCCGCGGTCCCGTGGAACTCCGCGAAGAGGATGCCCTTGAAGTCCCCCTTGGAGTACGTGTTTATCGGGGCCGGACCGTTCAATACCATCAGCTCGTCCATCAGCCATGTGGTCGCCTCAGCCATGCTGTTCAACGCGTCCAGGTTGCCTATCACGGCCGCGATGTGCCTCTTGTCCGTGGCTGTATGCTGAACGGCGCCTTGAGGTGGAGCAGCGCCGGCCGGCCGAGAGGACTCGAGATTCTTGAGCATGTTCTCCAGCTTCTCGATCCTGACCTTTGACACGTCCAGCCTGCTTTCCACAGACTGCAGGCGCTTGTTCACCACTGCCATGAAATCGTTGAGGCGGGTGTCCAAAGCGCTGAACCCCAGGCGCAACTCTTCCACCGAGGCTGTGACGGGAGTCAGCTCTTGCCGGAATAGCGCCGCTATGCCGAGCATCGTGACCTGCTCCTCCTGCGAGTTCCCCTCCTTTCGTACCTCCCCCAAATGCGGCCGCACGTGCGGCGACGGGATCATTTCCTCCTCATCCTCCTCCCCGCCATCTTCCATACGCTGGTAGCGACTGTCGGCCAGTAGAGGTGTACAAGGCGAGGCAGGACCAGGTCCCGTGCGCGCAACCTTCTCCCTCATCTGCTCGAACGGGCTGCCCGCCAACAGGTGGCCGACTGGAGTACCGGCCCCCCGGGCAGCCCCTTGCCTTTGCGGAGGGGTTTGTGACATCACAGCCTCCAACTCCTTCTCCAGGTTCAGCGGGGGGCGGCCGCCAGACATTGCAGCGCGATCGGGAAAGCAAGAACCGGAAATGCCTCGGTTTACCCGCTTTCGCGAGCGCCTTTCGTTGAAAGATCTGGGGCGCGAAATTAGCTTTCTTGAGCCTCAAGAAAGCTTGAGCGCAGCTGATGGAAAACTAACGAGGACCCCTGAACCTACAGGAGCCATCCAGAAACGCCTGGAAACCGCATCTACTCCCCCCACCTTCGTCATGCTCCCTCCCCCGCTGCGCTCGTTCTTCCCAGGCCATTCGATTATGTTCCCAAGCAGAACCTGACGACGACCCCAAGAGGCAGAAAATGCACGATCTACCTCCGTATTTGCTGTTCCAGATGTAGGAGGTCTAGACCCTCCTCCCTCAAAGATCAACCTCTGAAACTGTCCTAGGACGCGTTCCTACCAGAAGTTCGAGGCGGAAGTAGCCGTGGCGACCGAGAACCCTGGAGGTTGCAAACATCCCGAAACCAACCTGAAGACTGACCCCGAGTCTAGAACCTCATTCCCGCTTGGATTTCAAACCAAATCTCGAAGTAGCGACGTGCAGGCCTTGGCGGGATCCAGCAGGTCGTAGATCTGGGTCATCTGCACGTGCATCTCCTGGGCAGGGGGGGGGCCGGAACGAGATGGATGCCGTCATCGCGAGACCAAAGGAGCAGGTCGCCCCTGGCTGGCGCTCGCTGCGGCGCTGTCGCCGACGACGACTGAGACGCCGCCGCCGCACACGTCGATGACGGCCACGGCAATCGCGAGGGCAACGGCGACGGCGACGCCGCCGACTGAGACGCCGAAGTGGAACGCTAACACATACGCCGATGCGTGCGAGGCGACCGCGAACCCGTTCGACGCAAACGCAGACACTTTTTTACAAGCTCGAGTGGGCACCCCGTGGCTGAGGAGAGGAGAGGACAGCAGCAGGGGGGGAAAAACAAGACGAGAGGCAGCAGCAGCAGCAAGCAGTGCAGACAGGCGCGGCCGCGGCCGCTACCTGGCACCCCGACGCAAACGCAGACACATCATGTCGAGGTGTACGCAGACACCGACGACGCGAGCGAAGTCGACTGCGACTGCGACGCCGCCAGCGACGCCGGCGGTGACGACGGAGAGGGTCGTCGTTGTCGTCGTCCTACTCTCGGGACAATGACCAGCGACACCACCACCAGCGCGGGGCGCCCAGGGGGGGGGTCCTTCTGGTGACGTCTCCAAACCTGAGCTCGGGGAGGCATCGTGGACCTAATCGCAGGAGGTGGCCTCCCTGGTGAAGGTGTCGCTTCAGGAGAGGGGATCGCGGGGGAGCGCCTCCTTGCACAATCATCGCCCTGGAATCGGCGATACATTACTAGCAGACCGGCGGCAGGCGCTCGATAGCGAAGCCGCGCGTTCCTGGGCGGGTGGGATATCTGACCCCTATCGGCGATGAGTGGGCGATCGGGGGTCGATGCGTTCCCCCCTTGAGCCGCATCCCCCACCTCACGGTGCCCCTTGGCTATCGGGCCAGAACTAAGCTCTCGGTGGCCGTTCGGGACAATCCGGGCAGCCTGATACCTCTCGGAGAGGCGCAGCTGCTGAAGGGCAGTCCCCAGGCTGACAAACTGCCAAGACACGACGAACACAAAAGACCATATCGGGCCGACACCCCCCAAGAGAAGCCCCATGAGCCCTTCGCCAGGGAGCCACGAGCTACATGAGAGGTTTGCCGAAGTGGGCGCGGGCTGAATGGGGAGGGCGATAAGGAGGAGAGGTGAGGTGAGGAAGGCGGTGTGCGGCGCTGCGGGCTCAAAACAACGACCCAACATCACAAGAACATTGGGAACGATCCACAATACTCCTGGGGCTCAAGGCTGGCGGCATGGGTACCGTCAAGCAGCGCTGCCATCCCGCCCCCAAGGGGCGGCCGCCCCCCGGGGGTCATCAAAACATGTTACCTGCCAAATAGAAGGCGCAAAAGAAACATGCTGGATATGGGGCGGAATCTCCAGCTGACGGGGTAACTAGGTCCTCCAGCGACTCAGTACTCCTACCACACGCCATGCCTTGGAAGCTAATAGCGTGCAGCCCCTGCAACTGTATTCGAAACAGAAATATACGTCGCACTGGAGGTCTAGGAACACTCGTAATGCTGATGGCGCGACGCGCGAACACCTACACACACACACACGCACACAAACACACACACACACACGCGCGCGCTCAGGCACACGCACACAGACCCATACAGACACATACAGACACACACACACACACACACGCACACACACACACACACACTCTCTCTCTCTGACCCACATACACACATGCACACACAAACTCACTTGTTTAGCGTCGCGGCGACGCGCGCGGTGGTGCGGCGTAGGTCAAGCCGGGGGGGGGGGGAACGCACCCAAAAACACACACACACAGACGCACACACACACACACACTCTCTCTCTGACCCACATACACACATGCACACACACACAAACTCACTTGTTTGGCGTCGCGGCGACGCGCGCGGCGGTGCGGCGTAGGTCAAGCCGAGGGGGGGGGGAACGCGCCCAAACACACACACACACACACAGACGCAACAAGCAAAGTTCCTTACCGCAGCTCATCCTCTGGCGGCGCGCATGAGGGGGTCGAGCGAGGGAGAGGGGGGCCTTCCAGGAAGGCGGTGCGCTTCCCAGAAGGGCGGGGCCCTCGCAAGAGGCCTGGCGGCCTCTGAGAGGGCTTCTCAGATGCCAGGGGGAGCCTGCAAAAGACCACCCATCTTATTTGAAGCCCCCCCCGCCTTCTTACAAGGCCGTCCCCTCGCGCCAACCCCATTTGAGGGGGAACACTAATGGGGGACACGCTCGGGGGGGAAACATCGACCTGTACTCGGTGATACCTCACTGATACAACAACCAGAAGGCCCCCGTGGCGAAACTGCACGTTCCTGGGCGGGGTGGGCTATCGGGCCGCTATCGGCGATGAATGTGCGATTTGGGGTCGATGTGTCCCCCCCTGAGCCTATCCCTACGTACCATTGCCCCTGTCCCTTGCGCGCGCCGACACGCAGCTCCTCAGCATCCTCCCCCCAGGGCAGCGTTCCTCCAGCACGGCGTCAAGGCCCTTCTCGCGGATCTCCTTGGGCTCGCCGATGCAAAAGACCTCGGCCAGTGCACCGCCCCGGAACTGGCGGTGAGCAGCACAAGCTGCGCGGCTCGACCCCCTCCTCGTCTCCAGACCGCCTCGCGTCGTCAAAAAAGTCACGATGGCAAGTGTTTGGCAGTTTCGGGCCTCTGGGGGCCCTCGCCACCCCCTGGGACAGTCAAAAACGAGACGGCATGACATGCCGTTCCTAAGGAAGTGCGGTCGAGACCTGCCCGGGTCCACGTTGTGAACAAATCGCAACGATAGGGGTCTGGCTGGCAGGACATCCTTCCTCGACCCCCCTCCTTTAGAAAGCATGGAATTTAGGAGGCCCACACGGACTTCTGGGATCGGCGCTGGAGCCGCTCCCTGGAGCTGGAAACGCACCAAGGGCGGTGCAGGAGGCGCCGTCAGGCTGGGCCAACACAGATCCAAGAAACCAGCGCAGACCTGAGAAAAATGTCTGTGCCGAGTGTCATTATTCGAGCCTTCCTCCATTATCGCTTTGGCTCAAGGCACCACATCGGGACTCCCCCGTTCGGCTCGGCGCAAGCGTGGCCGTAGGCAAGAGTGACCTCTGGCGCGCAGCTTCAGGGGGGCCGGGGGGCCACGCCCAAGCGGGCAAGCATCTGCTGTGGCATCGCACTCCCCAGCGGGCACGCATCACAAGTCACTCTGACCAGACGCAACTCTTACGCGCAACCCGTCTAGAGGTAGCTGATGGGCTTGTTCTCCACCACCACCACCACCACAAGTTGGGGGGGGGAAAGGAGGTGGAGGACGAGAAGGAGGAGGAGGAGGAGGAGGAGGAGCCCCTCCCCCTCCAACCTTCTGGTGGTGCTGGTGGTGGGAAACAGGCCCACCAGCCACTCTGACCATGGCGACGAGCCCTATACATCTCCACTGCTCCTGGCCAGGTCCACCCTGGGCCCAGGAGCGGTGCACATGCCTCCATGGCCGAGCCAGGAGGGCGTATACGCCGCTCCTGGGCCCAGGCTGGACCTGGCCAGGAGCAGTGGATATGTATAGGGCTCGTCGCCATGGTCAGAGTGGCTGGTGGGCCTGTTTCCCACCACCAGCACCACCAGAAGGTTGGAGGGGGAGGGGCTCCTCCTCCTCCTCCCCCTCCTCGTCCTCCCCCTCTTTCCCCCCCAACCCAACTTGTGGTGGTGGTGGTCGCCCTCTGACCAGACGCCACTCTCAAATCACAGCCGCCCCCCTCCTGGAGGCAGCGCGCGCCGCCAGGCCGGGCCCGCCGCGCGCGGCCGTGGAGCGGGCGCCGGCCGCCGCCCGCCCGCGGGCGGCGGCGGCGCGGCGCGGCGGGAGGGAGGAGGAGGGAGGAGGAGGAGGAGGAGGGGGAGGAGGGGGAGGGGGAGGGGGAGGGGGAGGGGGAGGGGCGAGGAGGCGTGGCCGCCTGCGCGGGGAGCAGCTCGGAGCGGATGCCTCCTGCGAGTACAGTGGGGACGCGCATCAAGAAACCATATGCTTTTCGTCGGGGTGTCCTGGGTCTGTTCGCTCCTCGCGCCGCGCGGTGACTTCCCGCAGCCGCTGGAGGAGCTGCTGCGTTCAGGGTGCTCCAAGTTTTCCCTCAGGTGCACCTCGCGCACGGGTTCTCAGGGTTGGGTCTCTTGCGAAGGTTTCTTGCGACCGCGCCCGCACTGTATCTGACGCTGCGGAAAACATGCGGCATCAAGACGACGCCAGGACAGGGACAACGGACGACCAAGACAAAATCGCGGATCTCTGAGACCCGGCGGATCTGGGGTACGTATCGGGTGCGGCGGCCTTCTCGGGCGCTCCAAAGCACTGTGAGACCGTCCCGGAACGCTCTGGAATGATTTTCCGTCCCAAACCCGCACGACACATCGCGAAAATTCAGGACTGGAGCTCCCTTGCCCGACCGTCGAGCCGCATCGAGGGCCCGAAACGAGACGAAAACGCCAGTTGTGAAAAATGCAACGCCAGAATCCCAAAGGATTCCTCCCGGATGGCGGCCAGTGGTGCGCGACCTGAGGCTGCGCCGCTTGCTTGGAGCCCAGGTGCGCCGGCTCCCCGACCACGCATCGGGATTGTGCCGCGCCAGCCGGCGGCGGCTGCGGCCACGGCTCGCGCTGCGGCGCAAAGCCTTGACGCCGCGACGCGGGCCGGAATGGGCCTGGAGCTGCTCAACCTGCTGCTGAGGTGTGAATGCGCTGGCGCGCGGGGAGTCGGTGCCCCAGGTCAGGAGCGAGACGCGGGCGAGGTGAGCCTCGCCCCGCAGTCCCCTGTGAGCCAGGTAGAGGAGGCGGACGATTGGAAGATGGTTCTGCGCAGGCAGACGGTCGGTGACCTTGTGCGACTGGCAGAGGGCTCGGTCAGATCCCCCAAGGCGGTAAGGGCAAGTGGCCTTTGCGGCAGTGCTGAGGGCGCAAGCAGGTCGCCGAAGGCAGCGCGGGCGGGTGACCTTGCGCGGCTGGCCGAGGGCGTCGGCAGGTCATCAGAGGCAGCTCCAGCTGGTGACCTAGCGCGGCCTGCTTAGGCTGCAGGCCAGCGAGGCCGAGCAGCCTCGGGCTGAGGCTCAGGCGCTGGCCGATGAGAAAACCGTCGAGCGGGCGAAGTGCAAGGCCCAGAAGTCCAGGAGAGGGTGGCCAGCGCGCACGTTGCCGCGGCGTTCACGTTGCAAGGGAGTGCGAGGGCATGGCTGAGGCGGCGGCGGGCAACCGCGGCGTGCGCTCGTCGCTGGGAACGAGCGGATGGCGCCCGCGCAGGAGGCCCCCGAGAGGCAGAAGAAGGCCGGGGGAGGAGCTGGCCAACCAGCAGGTCCAGGATGCCGAGGACTTCACTGAGGAGGCGACCCGCCCGGCCGAGGCCGAGGCGACTCAGTTGGTGACTGCGCATGCCGTGGCAGCCGCTGCAGCACATGTGCCCGAGCGTGCCAAGGTAGTCGAGGACTACGTGGAGCCGTTCGCTCGGCTCTATGCGAAGCAGGGCTCCCAGCTGGAGGGGCAGGGGCTCGAGGTCGTGATGGCCGAGTCTGCCCCGTTGGGCTTGCAGATTGAGCTCGAGGGCCGCCAACAAAAGTAGAGCATTCCATCGCGGCGTGGGAGCCTCTAACCCGGGCGCTGCAGTCGCTGGTTGCGGAGGGCTACAGCAAGGGCCTCTTGACCGAGCTGGTGTGTGCAAATGCGCGTCGCGGAGGCGGCTCTGATGAGGAGGGCTCCGTGCAGGCTGCGAAGATGGCCGTAATGATGGGCGGGCTGAGCCGCGCGTGAAGCCCGTCATAGCAAGGACCCCCTCCGGTGTACACTCGGCGTGTGATTCTCGCGCTGCGAGGCATGCCCCCACCCCTGCCCCGCGCGCGGCAGGCGGCGTGTTGAGGAGGACGCAGCATAGCGATCGGCCTCGCGTCGGGCGGACGATGCGGATCTGTATCGGCGCAGGGGCGTGTCGGGTTGGGGGCTTCGGTGCCTGGCATGAGGTGTGCCTGGGCTGTTGACTGTAGCTCGTCCCCTCGGAAGAACCAGAAACGTCAACAATGCCCCCCCCCGTCCTCCTCCCACCGCCGCCCCCCCTCATCACCCCGCCTCCTCATCCTCGTGATCTCCCAGTCTCCCCTTCCTCATCAACTCCATGTCCTTACAAATACCTCCTCGCACCCCGAGGCCAGTCGAAAGGGCGGGCCGGGCGTTCAGCCCGAGACTTCTTCACCACGGTAGTGACACTTAGAACTGGGAAACCTATTCACAAATTGCGGGGTGGTCGTTCTCAGAATGTGACTCTCGCCTTGAACTTTTGCGATACTTTCACAGTTTGGGGGCGGGTCGTTTTCAAAATGAAGCTCTCGCTTTGGCGACGCGCGCACTCGTTGTAAGCTATTGCAAGAGATTCAGCGGTTCCTTTTCAAAATGTGGCTCTCGCCTCAGCTCCGCGCACAAGTGTTTTGTAAGTTCGCAAGAGTTTAACGGTTCCTCATGGCTAACGGCGTTTTGGAACGATTCAAGAGTGTCAGGGCGTAACAGTTCAGCCGGTTCACGGCGTTGAAGTCCCAAGACTGGTTTTCTGGCACGATACAGGATCGCCAAGATGTGCCAGTCAGGTTACCGCGTGGCGTTGAAGTCCTGAGGACAATGTTTTGGCACGCTTCAAGATGTTCACACGGTTGTTCCACTACGGGGCAATTCCCTCAGTTGTAGTGAACCCATGTAGGGGCCTATGATGAGAGCTTGAAGGGAGGGTGCATTCCAACATCCTCCTCCTTCCCTTCCTTCTCCTCCTCCCCTCTCTCTCTCCCTCCCTCCCTCCTGATCCGATTACTATTCCTCTCCTCCTCCTCCTCATGCTCCTCGTCCTCCTCCTGCTTATCGCATCCTCCTCCCTCTGCCTCATCCCCCTCCTCCAAATCGCTCGTCCCTCCTGCTGCTCTCATATCTGTATCATCCCTCATCCTCCACATCCTTCTACACCTCCTCATCCCTCCTGCGCCTGCTCAGTCTCTCTCCTCTCATCTCCTCTTCCGCCCTCACATCGTGTTTCCTCTCCCTCCGCCCTCCCTTCCGTCCCTCATTCCTCGTTCCTTACCCAAGCACCGCTTCCCTTCCCCTTCCCCAGCTTCCCCCTCAGCCTGGAGGCGAAAATCAGGATGGGTTCTGCGAGTGGAAATGTTGATTGCACTTTGTTGAATGCGTGCAAGATATTACAACGTGAATCACCTCCTGTCTGAAAACTGCATGAACGCTACCAACTGGTTCGTGCCACGCCAGGCTGATAAGCCTCATCCTTTGGGAACTGGAGAGCTGTGACGTGAGCTCAGTGAGCACTGCCTGCGCAAACTGAAAGATGCCCGAACTTCCGAAATCTTGTTCTCCCACACGGACCTATCCTCTCGACCTCATCCAAAGGAGGTCGATGTCCCGTCTAGAGGGCGTCGATGTCCCGTCCCAGGCAAACCTCTGATGCCGCTGGAGTCTCAGATCGGCCCCCCTGATCCGGAAAATGAGCACAGACAAAAGTATCGCCTGTGTCTTTCTTCGGAGAGGTTGGAGGTCAGGGCAAGGATGCGGGCCTACCAGGGGGTCCAGCGAAGCTGAACCCCCTCTGCGAAAAGATCTTGACTCAAGCGCAAGGAGCAGTCCAGTAGTGCTAGCATCGGAATCACGGCAACACCCTAAAATCAAGTGCGGAACATGACAATGAAACTCTCGGCTGAAACCGAAAAACAATACGCCGTACATGCACGTAGGCTGGCACATCCAGAGAGTCTTCTGAGCGAGCGCACAGAAAAGCTTGGCGCCCGTTTCACGGCGAACACTCCCACATGCACCGGATGGCCCCCGTGCGTCTCGGGCATTGCAGCCAGAATGGATGCGGCGAGCTCGCATGCGGCTCTTCCCCGAATCTGATCGAAAGGAGGAGGAGGAGGAGGAGGAGGAGGAGGAGGAGGAAGCGGGCATCAGTCGCCTGCACCAGATCTTCCCGCGGCTCGAAGCTCGAAGGTGGAGGACGAGTTAGTAGCAGTAGAGGGGGGGCAGAGAGGGATCAGGGCAGGAGACGGGCGGAGGAGGAAGACGCGGAGGACGGGAACGAGGAGGCGGTGGCGGTGGAGGAGGAGGTTTGGGAGAAGGAGGAGGACGAGGAGGAGGAGACATGAGGAGAAAGGATAACAGATTGGGGCGGGATGGCGTGCGCACTTGCGCCGGCGCGTGTGGGCCCGGCTAGATGGCGAGGGGGCAGGCGCGATTCTCCAAGGCGCCCAAACAATTGCCTCGCAAGTGTGAGACCCGGCCACTGGACAACAAGCACGCGCAAGGTGCATTAGAACCACGGCCAGAGTCACGTTTGAGGCGACTCCACGCCTGTCCTTTGCCAAGGGTCTCGGCCACAATGTGCCCTATCAACGTGCGCCAGAGTAAGCGAGTGAGCAGACAGGCGGAGGCTGAAGGTGCGGAGGAGGGGAACGAGGAGGCTGAGAAACAGAAATGGATGGGGGGAAGCAAGGAGGGGGCCGTAGACAACAGCATAGCAATACAGTGGTGTCGGGATGAGAAAACGTCAGCGCAAATGTCGGCCGCTAAGCCCCAGAACGCAGCTCATGCCGGCATCGAGGATGTACTTAAGCTTCGTGGCGAGCGTCGTGTTATCATCCATCGGGAATATCCTAGGCAAGACACTCGAAAATGTAGTGCCACGCTACGACCGCCCTCCTACCAAAGAGATACTCAGCTCTTTCCCCAGAAACTCCTTCGGCTCCTCCTCCTCCTCCTCCTCCTCCTCCTGATCTCCCCACCATCCTCCCTACTGACATCCTGTTTTCCTCACCCTCCACATTATCCACTCTTCTCACCCTGTACCCGCCTTCTTTCATCTTCCCCCCTTTCTATTATCAAAGTGAGGGGGCCGAACGGTCATTCATTGTCCCTGGATGCGTGGCTGAAGTGCGGATCCGTGGTGAGGATTCTGATTATTGTTGTTGTCGTCGTCCCACCCGCGATCCACCCGCGACCCACCCCGCGACCCAACCGCGACCCACCCGCGATCCACCCCGCGACCCACCGTCGACCCATCCGCGACCCACCTGCGACCCAACATGCGATCCCCTACATTGGCTTCACAAGAAATCGGCGCCTGCGGCGGGCTCGTTCTATACCTTGAAATGTTTGCTGCCGAAGTCCCCGCCACCCCCTCACTCTTATCCGCAACTGCGGGGTGCTAGTAGCACGTAATCCGCCCTCACGCTGTTGGTCCTCCTCCTCCTTCTTCTTTGGCTTATCTATGCGACAAACTTCGATGCGACCGCCTGTGCAAGCAAAGCCACACCAGCGAGCTACTATTAGGCCACTGGGGTGAATGTGGCCCACATCTTTTTCTGCTGCTGCTGTTCCTCCCTGGGTTCCTCCCCCTTCATTCCCCACTCCTCCTCGCAACAATCTCCCTATCTGGTCGATCTGGCCTTGACGACACGATCAGACTCGGATCCCTAGTCCTCCCGCAGCCGACTCGCGGCCTGCATCCACGTCGGGAAGAGAGCAGCCCCGTCCCAGCCCGAACCAATCTTGATTGCCTCCCGGCCCGCTCGCTCCCGATCCGCGACGCGCTCCTCCCCTCCCCACCCCCTCCTTTCGCCTGCCCAGCCTGTCTCCGCTCCATCCCTGTGAAACACGTCCCACCCTGTTCTCTCCATCATCCCCCTTCAACAAACACCTCTCTCCCTCCGCAGCCTCACGTCTATGCGTTATCCCTCCTCCCCTTCCTCCCGCTGTCCCCTTGTCCTGATTATGCAATTATGTTTCTGTTGCTCCTCCCGCTCTTGTTCATCATCGTCGTCTTCGTCGTCGTCGTCCTCCTCCTCCCCCTCCTCCTCCTCTGTCCTCCCTCCTCCCGCTCTCTCTCCCCCCACCTCGAACTCCTCCTCCTCCTCCTCCCTCCTACACGCTCCTCGCTCAACGCTCCCTCCTTGCTACGAGGGGTCCTGGGGAAAGGGTCCTGGAATCGAGGGCTTTCTCAAGGATCGATGTTTTGATGAATCGTTCTTGACGGTCCTGGTGCCTCGGTCCCCGGAGAAGACGAACATGCACATAAAAAGCCAGCGCACTGGGGGAGGAGTACGGAGGATGAGGAGGATCAGGAGGAGGAAGAGGGAGAGAAGCAGGCGGATTAGGACAAGAGGAGGCGGGAGGTCGAGGGGGGAGGCCCACGACGCAGAGCACATCGACGACGAGCAGGGGCGACGACGTGGTGCGACGGCGACGACCGGCGGCCTCCAGCAAGGCCCGCAGAGAGGCTCCCCAAGGCCCCCAAGAGCTCCAGCCCACAGAAAGCGAAAACCCACTTCTCAGGGGCGGCCAAGAGTGGGGCGTCCAAGGGGGGGGGCGCAAATCATGGCCGGCGGCGTGTGCGCGGTCCAGGGGGGGGTGGCCAGGGACGCAATGGAACAAGAAGTGGCCCCATGAAATCTGAGGAAATATCATGGCCCAGGCCATGACATCCCCCCCCCCTAGTCATCACCCCCCTCTTGGCCGCCCCCGAGCTTCACGCACAAATCCCGAAACCGAGACGGCGTGGATCTCCTCGCTCTCCTCCGGCGGCTCCGGGAGGTTCCCAGAGGTCTCTGGAGCCCAAGCAGGTCGGCGGAGCGCCGGGGGCGGAACGGCGAGGGCAACCCTTCTCAGAAAACGGGGGGCTTAGAAAGCTTCTGAGCCTTCCGTGAAGGCTTAGAAAGCTTCTGGACCTTCTGCGAAGACCCGCCTCCTCTGCCTTCCCACCCGGGCGCGCCGCCGACCAAGACGGGCCAGACGCCTGAAGCAAAATTCCGGGGCCGACGGCGGCCGGCGCAAGGGTTGGTCCCGAACTCGCCGCGGCGCTCGGAGTGGCCGATGAGCACCTGGCTGATGCCCATGTCCTTCATCTGCTCGACGGCCTCGGCTCGCCGAGGTGTGGGCGCGGCGGGGAAGGTGGGGCGGCAAGCGGGGCCGGGGGGGGGGGGCGAAAGGTGCCCCTGTCGTGCAATCTCGAGGGCCCAATAGGCCCATTTAGGCCCCCCGAAGGTGCACGACGAAAGGTGCACCTTTCTGCACCCCCCCCCCGCGCATCGACCCAGCAATTCGCAGCCCCCAAAGGCAGATGTCTTCGCCGGCGACGGCGACGTCGACGCGTGTCGCCGACGTTGGCAATGCCTGTGTTCGTCGGAGGCGCAGCCGGCGTCGGCGTCATCTCCGTCGTACGCCGTCGTCGGTGCCAAAGACAAAGTTACCATCGTCTCCGTCGGCGTTGGCGTCGATGCTGGTCATCGTCGGTGTTATCGCCCTTCATCCACACGGCCTGGGCTTGTCGTTCGAAGACCGAGGACCAAAGCTCAGGGTCGGCGACCCGATCCGCCCTCAAGATTGGCCCAGGATGAAGAAATGAACTGGCTCTGGAGAAAGCCCGGGAGGTCCAAGACGCAATTCCCTCAAGCCCCCATTCCTTCATGGCGATACCCTGAACTCCGACGCTGTGTTGTCTGCTTCTCTCAAAATTGACTACCTACCAAACCACCCCAACCCAACCCGAAGACTCGAATTTCGGGTTGGGGGGGGTACGAGCTTCATGTGTGTTTTATCAACGTTCCCCGACCCCCCCCCAACTGGAAATGGAGGGCAAATTGGGGCCTTCGGGTTGGGTTGGGGTGGTTTGGTGGGCGGTGAAAAATGGACCCTCGGAGGTCTGGACCCCTTCTCCGCGACCGCCTCTGCATCCCGCGTCGTGTCTGTCAGACGTCGAACATTTCCCGACGCTGTTGGACGTCGTTTCTGTAGACGTCGTCGAAGACTGCCCGTCGCGATTACCCGCCCCTCCCCTCCCTTCTCCCTCCCTCCCTGCATTTTTCCGAATTCCCAATTCCATTTTCTGTTCATGTCTCACAAATTTGTTGTCTGGCTGGTAGACTGATTGCACACCCATGCCCTGCACAGGGCCGAGCAGCCGGCAGGCATGCTCGAGTGGCTCACTCGCTCCCCCTCACTCGCTCTTCCCCCCCCCCCCCCCGGACGAGGGAGGGGCGAGGGAGCTCGCACAGATCGATGCGCCCCCCTGCAAGGCAGGATGACGAGCACCTAGCGAGCGGCTGGCGCGAGGGGGGGGGGGGGGCGGCTTTCGGAGAAGATCGTGGGCGGCCTTCGAAGAAGATCGCGGGCGGCTTCTTAGCAAGAAGGGTAAGGCGAAGCCAGGACGAGGATCAAATCGGGTGAGGATAACTCGGGACTCGCTGAGATCCTGCGGCTCGGGGCACTGTCTCAAAACGAGGACCCAACACCACATGATGGTTGCGAACAAAATCGGGGGGTCTCTCCAAATGGCGGACAGCTTCTCAGAAGCCCGCTCCTCTCTCCCTCTACCGAAGGCGCCAATGCCACCGCCCGCATGCGTCACGCAGACCCTTGTCGGCACACCCCTTACACGTTCCATGGCCCCATATGGGAGCTCCACCGAAGGCTCCAATGCCACCGCCCGCATGGGTCACGCACACCCATTTCGGCACACCCCTTAAACGTTTCGTGGCCCCACAGGGAGCTCCACCAAAGGCCCCAATGCCACCGCCCGCATGCGTCACACACACACACACACACACATCTCTGTACACTCCTTCACGTTTCGTGGCCCTACAGGAAGCCCCACCGAAGGCCCCAAAACCACCGCCCGCATGCGTCACGCACACCCATTACGGCACACCCCTTACACGTTTCGTGGCCCCATAGGGAGCTCCACAAAAGGCACCAGTGCCACCGCCAGCATGCGTCACGCACACCCATTTCGGCACACCCCTCACACGTTTCGTTGCCCCACAGGGAGCTCCACCGAAGGCCCCAGTGCCACTGCCAGCGTGCGTCACGCACACCAATTTCGGAATACCCGTCACACGTTTCGTAGCCCCATAGGGAGCTCCACCGAAGGCCCCAGAGTCACCGCCCGCGTGCGTCACGCACACGAATTTCGTCACACCCCAAAACTTTTCGTGGCCTCGTAGGGAGCTCCACGGAAAGCCCAAGTGGAACCGCCCGCATGCGTCACCCGCACACATTCTGGCGCACCCGTCACGCGCTTCGTGGCACCATAGGGAGCTCCACCGAAGGCGCCAGTGGCTGCGTTCGCATGCGCCCACCGCCCCCATTTCGGCACACCCATCACACGTTTCGTGGCCCCAGAGGGAGCTCCACCGACGGCCCCAACGGCTGCGTTCGCATGCGCCCACCGCACCTACTTCGGCACACCTCTCATTGTTGTCGTGGCCCCATAAAGAATTCCACCGACGACTCCAGCGGCTGCTTCCCCACGCGCCCACCGAACAGATTTGGCACACCCCTCACACGTTTCGTAGTCCTATAGGGAGCTCCTCCGAATGGGTGCATACAACGACGAACCTCACAACTGCATCCAAGGAGTTTGAACAAAACTGTTTTTTTAACACGGATGTTTAAATTCTGGGTTGTCGCGTAGAGTTTGGAGCGCCGCGCTGGGGCAAGCCACAAAACTAGGATTAAACAAAAACGAAAAAGCGCAATGACGCGGCACTAAACAAAACAAGGTTTTCCATGATGGAATCTGCGCCAATCCGCGTAGAGCCTTAAATGCTATTCTAAGTGGGCGCCTCAAATCAATATTAAAAACCACATTTTTAGGGTGGCATCTTTTATGGGGGGGGGCGCTGTGGGGTTTGTTAGGGGGGTCGTGCTGGGGGGGGGTCTTGCCGGGGGTGACGATGGGGCTCTGGGTGAAGAATTAAGGAGAGATTTAAATGAAGATTTGGGCTGGCGGGGCTCCGGGGTAAAGTTGCACGCGAATATGTACATGAAGATTTAGGCTGGCGGGCCTCCGGGGTGAAGATGCAAGTGAAGCTTTAGGCTGGTGGGGCTGCGAGGTGAAGATTTTCCGGAAGATTTAAGCTGGCGGGGCTCCGGGGCGAAGATTTTCGAGAAGATTTGAATGAAGATTTAGGCGGGCGGGCCTCTGGGGCTACGATTTTCGTGAAGATTTAGCCGGGTGGGCCTCCGGGGTGAAGATCTTCGTGAACATTTAAGTGAAGGTTTAGGCTGGCGGGCTTCTGGGGTGAAGATGTAACTGAAGATTCTGGCGGGCCTCCAGGGTGAAGATTTTCTTGAAGATTTAGGCTGGCGCGCCTCCGGGGTGAAGATTTTCATGAATATTGAAAATGTAGATTCGAGCGGGCCTACGGGGTGAAGATTTTCGTGAAGATTTCCATGACAATTTAAGCTGGCGGGCCTCGAGGGCGAAAATTTCCGTGAAGATTCAACTGAAGATTTACGCGGGCGGGCCTCCCGGGTAAAGATTTTCGTGACGAGTTAGGCTGGCGGGCATCCTGGGTGAAGATTCTCGTGAAGATTTAAATGAAGATTGTGGGTGGCGGGGTTCTGGGTGGAGACTGCTGGAAAGATTTAAGTAAGATTTGAGCTGGCGGTGGGTGAAGATTTAGGCGAAGATTTACGTGAAGATTTCGGCTGGCGAGCCTCTGGGTGAAGATTTACGTGAAGATTCACATGAAGATTTAGGCAGGCGGGGCTCTGGGCGTAGATTTACGTGAAGATTTAGATGGAGATGTCTGCCGCGAGGCGCGAGGGAATGTCGAGGTGACGATTTCAAGTGAAGATGTAAACGTCGAGAGCGCGGGTGAAGCTCCAGGTGAAGACTTAGGCTAAGATCGAAGGGGTAAGTCAGCTGAAGATTGCTAGCGAAATTAAACAATACAAACATACCAACAAAAAACGCAAACAAATCAAACGGCGCCTGCCCGCGCGACGGCAAGCGTTCAGAGAATGCGAAAATGTGTTCTGAAACGCGTTCCCAACAAACAACCATGTTAAAACTACAACGTTAGGAACAACAACTAAACAACATTCAGGGTCACCCCTGGGATGAAGATTTAGGTGAAGATTTGAAGCCTGGGTGGAGATGTACGGCCCCAGGTGAAGATTTAGGAGAAGAATCAAGGTCTGTGGTGAAGATTTACATAAAGATTTTCGGCCCTGCGTGAAGATTTAGGTGAAGATTTAGGGCCCTCGGTGAAGAGTTAAATAACGAGTTCGGGCTCTGGGTGAAGATTAAGAGCCCTGGGTGAAGATTTACACACCTGGGCGAAGATTTCAACTAATATTTAATGCCCACGGGAAAGATTAAGGGCCTGTGTGAATATTTACATTAAGATTTAAGGGATGGGTGAAGATATATGGCCCTGGGCGAAAATGTAGATGAAGATTTAGGGCGCAGGTTGAAGATTTAGGTGAAGATAGAAGGCCTGGGTGAAGATAGAAGGCCTGGGTGCAGATATAAGGCCTAGGTGAAGGTTTTGGTGAAGATTCAGAGTCCTGGGTGAAGATTTGGGTGAAGATTTACGGCCCTGGGTAAAGATTAACGCGAAGATTTAGAGCCCTGGACGGAGATTTCGGTGAAGAGTTCGGGCTCTGGGTGAAGATTTAAAACCTTGGCTGAAGATTTACGCGCTTAGAAGAAGATTTAAATGAAGATTCAATGCCCTGGGTAAAGATTTACGAGCCTGGGGGGATGTTGAAATGGAGATCTAAGGCCCGGGTGAAGATTTACGCCCCTGGGTGAAGATTGAGTGCACTGAAGGAAGATGTACGCGAAGATTTCAGGCCTGAAGCTTTGCGGCCCTGGGTGAAGATTTAGGTGAAGATTCAGGGTCCAGGTGAAGATTTAGGGGGAGATTTACGGCCCTGGGCGCAGATTGATGTGAAGATTTAGGGCCCAGGGTGAAGATTTCAATACAGATTTCGGGCTCTGGGGGAAAAACTAGAGCCCTGGTTGAAGATTTTCGGGCCTGGGCGAAGTTTTACGTGGAGATTTAGTGACCTGTGAATATTTGAAAGAATATCCGGAGGACTATGTGGAGAAAGATCGCTGTGACAA